ACTGTGTGCGTGCTGTGAATACTTTGGGAGAACGTAGCACTGTTACGTTGGCCTGGGTGCCAGGGCACGAGGGTCACAAGGGTAACGAAAAGGCAGATGAAAGGACTAAGTAAGGCTCATCAATGCCATTCATAGGTCCAGAACCCTTCTGCGGCATTGCAAAGGCGTCCACGAGAATGGCCAGGGAACGATGGGTGGCCAACAAATCTCTAGAATGGTGGAGAAACTCACCAGGGCAGAGACAGGCGAAACGGTTCATTGTAGAACATTCGCCAAAATTCACGGTAGACTTGATAAGCAAGGACAGAAAGACAGTCAAAGCTGTAGTAGGTCTACTATCAGGGCATTGTAAGCTAAATAGGCATCTAAAGCTGATGGGATTGACAGACGAAGCTATGTGTAGGTTCTGCCAATGAAGAAGAAACGTCAGAACACATTTTATGTCGGTGTGACAGCCTGGCAAATGTGCGGTTCCCGGTAATAGGCAATGATAGGCCTTTGCCAAGGAGCTACATGGAGGGTTTAGTCTCCAAGTTGCTAAACTTTGTGAAAAAGATAGGACTGGAGAATGTAATCTAAGGATCAGAAGAGGACCACAATAGATCTGAGAAGGTCGCAGTGGATCAGGCCGAAAGCCACCTCTAAGAATCTCTACCCTATTTGATCCATTCTCTCTGTTTGCACATGTATTGGAGCAAATTATTAAATAATTTGGGAGGGATGGTGTCGCCTTGGCGAACACCTTTTTCTATGTGGAATCTGTTAGTATCTTCATGAGGCCTGTAGTCTGAAGCCAGTACATTAAAAAATTTTATTAATAATTTTGACAAATAAAAGAACACCTAAAATCAGTGTGTGTTACATCGGCAATTCTGCGATTCTCCGTAATTCCCCACAATTACGGGATATATTAGTATAGGCCTGATGCTCGAATACGGTGTTGCTCGGTTAATAAGGATTTCAACGGCGCCACACACGGCAAAATGCTATGTTTAGCTTCACAAAAATCGAAATTATAATTTTTTTTTCGTATGTTTATCCACTCACTGTTGCTCTTATAAAATCTGTGGACCTAATTTTTTCTGACCAATTAATTATAACGGTGCAAGCGCTACCGAAAGTTCTTTCTGAAAGAACTTTCTGGTTAGCCTTGCAGAAACATGGAGCGCAAAAAGTATCATTTACACCCAGCACAGCCACTTAAAAATTAATTATTATTATAAATAATATAGCTACAGACAGGTAGTACAATTAAATAACATCCATATAATAAATTTGAACTGTTTTGAATAAGATAATAATGTTAAAGATTTTAAACACATTATTTTGGATTTTTATTTTATAATTTTGTTTCTATAATGGGTTATAATTATGAGTTCCACGGAGTTCCGCTTTTTAATTTAATAAAATTAAAACCACTAGTGTATTACTAGTGTTGATACAGGTATAAAAAAATGAGCTTTCCCAAATCTGCCCTTTTTTGAGATAGACCTTTATTTGCAGGGAGTCGCACTAATTTCTATACCAGTCCTGTAATATAAAGAGAGGATTTTTTTAGTTTTAAGAAGACATATTTTCTAAATTATGAATTTCTAAGTTTATTACAAGCCTTTTTTCATATATTACTGACAGTAGAAAAAAAAATCAAATGGCTGTGCTTGGTGTAAATGACACTCTTTTGCGCTCCACGAAAGGTGCGAACTGCATCAATTTCGGTAACGCTTGAACTACTTAATTGAATGGAAAAATATATAATATTTAAAATAAGCCCTACAAATGTAATAAAAAAAACAATGTGTGGATAAAGATACGAAAAAAAAAATAATCTGGATTTTTGTCAGGCAGTGTAATTCAACGCGGATACGAACGAATAATCCAGCGATCGGAAAACAGAAAGTCGGATAATCGAGAGTCTACTGTAATTATTTTCAAGTTTATAAAACTTTGAACCTCGAAATAAAATATAAATTTAAATATTTTATACAATTCTGACATACAAATATTAAAAACTCTATTTGAAATGAATGTAAGTAACGGAAAGGTCCGTAAGCCCTTCTATATTTGCTTTTATCTCTCCTCCTAAATAAATAAGAACCATATTACATTTCTAGTGGCTCTAAAATTGAGCTTCGACAATAAGATGAATCATTTCTTGATTCGTTTCGATCTGCTAGATGCCGTTACAGTCTAGCCATGCGGAAAATCGGGTGCTTTGCCCTAGAGAACTGTGGATATACAATATTATGGTGGATATCTAATATTCAGGGTGGTCAGAATTGTATTCCGGAAACTTCGGCAGCATATTCTGCAGATAAAAAGAAGTAAAAGAGTTCGTATATATTTATGTCCTATAATGGTTCGTTTTGAAGATACAAGTTTCATTTTTATTTCAGTTTTTTTCAAATAATTTCTGAACTAACGTCGATATTTGCATCAAAATTGGTGTCTGGGTGTTTTTGACATAAGAAATTTGATTTCAAGATCAATATGGCTCTTGTAGAGTAATAACTTTCGTCCTTACCTGTATAAAACTACTGAGTGAAAAAATACACGTTTCCGTAATTTTCTACATATAAAAATATCTCTTGATAAAAATTGCAACGAGCAATCGTTTTCAAGATATTTGGAATGGAAATAGTAAATACATACCATTATTGATAAAAAATAAACGTGTTGACTAGATAGTTATTTTACTGAAATGATAAATTTCAGAACTTTTTAGTTTTTTAAGCTAATCAATTTTTGTAGCAAAAAAAAACGATGAAACAGATTTCAAATTTAATATTTTAGACTAATAGATATCCAGATCCAGTTAACATGTAAAGTTTTTGTCAATTATAATAGTTTGTATTGACTATTTCGATTCAATATATCTGGAGAACCATTACTCGTCGCGATTTTTAGCAAGAGGCCTTTTTTACGTAAAAAATGACGAAAATGTATATTTTTTTAATTAGTTGTGTAATACAGGTAAGGACGAAAAGTTATTACTCTTCAAAACAGTTAACAAATATGTATATGGCACCCCCTACGAGTAGGAGTGATACTGATATCGAAATCGAAATTAGAATGTCACAAAACACCCATTCACTAATTTTCATGAAAATATTGGCGTTAGCTAAGAAATTATTTGAAAAAATCGAAATTAAAATGAAACTTCTACACCCTATCCAAAAAAAAACACAAAAAAAAACAAACAAAACTTCTACATCCTGTATCTCCAAAACGAAGCAGTTTAGAACATAAATTTATATGAGCTTTTTTACTTATTTTTTTCTGCAGAATATCCATATAACCGCTGAAATTTCCCGAATAAAATTGGGACCACCCTGTCCTGTATACCTGGCATTATTAGTTGTAATACGCTCAATGATCGGCTAGTTCTAGGGGGCATAATATCATGGGCATTTTCGCACTGCATTTTTTCATCTGTTTATAGACTAGCTGATACCTCCCCCGTTCGCTGTTCACAAACAATCAAAATACAACTCCTTATACGGGGTGGCCCAAATTGCAATCGAAAAATTTGACAGCATGTTCCGCAGGCAAAAATAAGTAAAAAAGTTCGTATAAGTTATGTCTCAAAAAAGTTTCGTTTCGGAAATAAGTGATGCAGAAATTTCATTTTTATTTCGTTTTTTATTCCTTATAATGCCTTAACTGGCGTTGATATTTTTAAAAAAATTGGTGTCTAGGTAAATGGCTCAAAATGTTTTTGTGCCATATATTGATATCGAAATCAAATTTTTCATAAGAAATTCAATTTCGATAGCAAAATGATGAAGGTCTTCAAAAAAGATCTGATATTATTTTTCATTCAATCGACTCGTTTGAAAATTATAATGAAGGTTAAAGTTCAACTACAAATCGTATGTGATGATCCCAATTTTTTATATTTTACCACGTAATAATGGCTCATAAACTATCCTGAATTTCGTAGTTCATCAAGCGTTCTATACTTTTAGTTTTAGTGTAATTTGTTTTCCTCCAATTTGTGTTCCTCCTACAAACGAACCCATGAAAAGCTGCTGTACGCAAGGGACAATATAGCTTTTTAGAAAATATTTGTTCCTTCAATTCGATTAAATGGAAAATCATATCAGACCTTTTTTGAAGATTGTACAATTTCCTATTAGAATATGTATTGATGTGAGTCCAATCAACATGCTCATTTGTTAGAAAACAATAAAATTATACTCACAACAATTTTTTCCGTGTTATTTAAATGGGAAATAGAATATGACGATGAGACTCCTCTTAATATTAATATTAAGATCTCAAACTTTATTGGATGTCATTCTATTCAGAGTGTCATTTTCTATGAAACAATGTAAAAAAATACGGAGGGTAGCATTTACAAATAAAAAAATATAGTAATTTCCGGTGAAACAAGAAGTAACCGAAAAAAATTTGGATACGTCAATCAATCCCAATTTACGTCATATACAAACATACCAAATCTCGTTTTTTTTATCTTAAAAAATAATAAGAGTTATAAAGGTGAGTCACTTTTGAGACGCACCCGGTATATGTTGCGCAATGTCCAAACACGACTTTCTAACGGAAATTATTTTGTATAGTAGTATCGGATGTTTGTGTTAATAAATAATTATTAAAACTTTTCTATTTTTATTATAATAATGTGTTATTATAAGAATTTTAATAACTACCAACACTCATTCACAACGTAAAATAAAAAAAAATATTGAGTCTACCCCACGTCTACCCTATATCATAGTTTTACATTTTTTAAATAAAATTAGAACGGCACTGATAAACCAAGGATAAACCGGAATTTAAGTCGGCCATATTTGAGTCCCATCGAGGTGGACCTAAGATTTTTGATACGCTCCTTCCTTAGTCTTCTTATTCAAAGAAAAGTACCTTTATTTTCCTGCTAAAATACGATATGGCGCCATCTCTTGGCCGAAAGCAAAAACAGACGAAACAGCGGTAAAAAGGTTTCTTTAGGATTACATAACATTGGAAATCCTATAATCAGTACAGCAGGAGCAATAAATTACAGCCTTGCGCAAACCATTTTATTTCATTTAAAATTCCTGTGTAATTTGCAGGTTTGAGAGCTCGAAGCAAGTTTTGCCAATAACCTTCATTAGCGCGTCTAGTGGAACGCAAAACTTTAAAATATTGTTTTTATCTTTTAAAAATGACACATTTTTTTCGATTTTTAGGCGGGCTAGTGATTGTGAACAACAAGTCAAAGAATGTTCTATGTGAAGGCGTAAAACAGTTAGAAAGATCCTATTCTACAACTACTATCAGGTAAATAAATATTAAATTTATATAAAGATGTTAGTATTAACTTCAATTTATCTGATTAAATTATTAAATAAATGTAAAAATAAGGATAAACAAAATTTTTGTAAATTTTTCACTATATCAAACAGGTAAATAAAAACTACTTTATAAGCTATATTGTGTAATATGGTAAACAAAATAATCAATAATATTCAATTTCAATTATTAGTTGTTTGTCTATCTTAGGTAACATTTGGTAAATACATTTTTTTAGATAAGCTATATTAATACCACCAAAGCGTCAAGTCATATAAGCCTTGTAACAATATACTGTGATAATATTAAATTTAATTAATTATATGGACATATAATTTAGCATAATATCACAGATAGATAATATAGAATGTTACCTGTGATAATATTGAAAAAAAAATATATAAAAAATGGTGTTTCTAAAAATCTATCGTTCTTAAATAATTATGAATAACTATACAGGATGAGTCTTAAATAAGTGTAAATAATTTTAAGTGTGGTATATTTCGACCCAGAAACTCAATAATGGTTTTTTTCGTTTTATTTTGAAAATTTGGAATTTTTTGGATTTTTGTTTAGTTTTTAGTTAAAAAACATAATTTGTTGATAATTGCAAATATGACATCATACGTAGAAAATTAAATTTACAAGAAAGAAACTCCAGCAGCAAATATCCATTTATTTTCAAAATTTTAAAAACAAATCATTTTTTTTTAATTTTCAAAGTTAAATAACTCGGTTATTTTGGATTTACTTAAAAAACGGTGAAGAGAAAATCTGTTTTATTTATCGAGATTCGAGATCTACCAGCCCTGAAAATATTTGTACTTTTTCAAGACTCACTCTGTATATTAAAAATATTAGGTAAAAATTATATAAAATTAAGTATATTTATTAACTTTTTTTATTATTAAATTTAGATTATTTTTTAATTCTTATCATCATAATCAATTTATAGAAGATATGCAGATGAAAATTAATAAAATATTTATCCTTGACTTTATATGAATAGGGTCATGTGTTCATATCAAAACAGAAAAAAGTAAATATAGATGATGCTAAAAATAAAAAAAACATTATTATGCTATAATACGGAAAAATATTTAGGTATATTAATGTATTTTTTAAAATATACAGTGTGTCCCAATATTCCGTGGACGTAGAACTAATACGTATTTGCGGGATCAAAATAAGTTCATTGGACATTTTTTCGTAAAAGGGTTCATCTAGTATTACGACATTTTTGTCTCTTGTAAAAAAACGTCACGTCGCACAGATTTCGAGAAAAAATATATTTCAGAATTTTTTCCAAAGCAGACCTACCGATTTTTCGGCTCTCACCGCTGCGTTGGCATCTAGGAAACATAGGAGATACAGGGTAGCTTAAATTAAGGCAAAGGTGCCTGTTAGTGAACTCAATGATACGTACTCCGTTTCGTAATTGAACTTATCTGTGTCATTTCAGCAAATATAGCGGAAAACTGAAATTCCTTCTTTTTTTTCTTGTACGAGTTTATTTCAGTAGTAGTAGTTCTAAAAAAGAATACATCTGCAAATTTATTCTAAAAAAACTTCTTTAGCTTTCTTGTTTTTGCTGCCGTTAAAATCACTTAAGACGCCTCGTGTTTCTGGGACCATCATCAATTTTGTTTTTTTTGAATAGAGATCTGGATTTTTTATATCTTTATTTAGAAGCTTATGACCTCCAAATGCAATATTATATCACACATATCTAAAAAATGTTGATTGTTATATTTATTTCATTGTTTTATTTTCTTTTATTATTATATATGCGTGTAAAAACACGCATATAACAAAAGTATCACTTCAACACATTGCCTCTTATGAGCATAATATACAGGGTGGCCCATCGAAAACGTTCCGCAAGGCATAACGGTCAGGGTAATTTTTTTTTCAGAAAATTCAAAAACACGTCAATTTTGTTTGTGAGGGGGACAACTTTTGCCCCAAAAATGATTGCAAAATTTTCAACCCTCTAAGCGGGGGTGTCATCCCCAATTTTTTTTCAAATGGAAAGGGGGGTCAAGTGGTACCGCAATAAAAAGGGTTTTCTATTCTCTATATTTCCCCGCCTCGTTTTTGAAAATCGGTCGAGTCATTGAGAAAATATGAAGGATTGAAATTTGAAAAGTTTATTTTAACATTTATCAGAGTAAATGATAAGGATAAATTTCTTCGACCAATTTGCTGTTTTTTCTTATTATTTCTAGATGTTTACGCATTTTTTTAATTGCCACAAGGTTGAACGATCCGGTGCGGTAGTTGCTAGATAGCTGTTCTGTGACTTATGCGTTGAAGTTCTTTTCAATATCGTTAAACTTTTTAACAATTATTATGGTGTGCTCACATACAGAAAAAATGGAAATAATCGAACTCTATTTTAAAAATAATGAATGTGGCAATCGGGTTGCGCAGATATTCAATGAACGCCATCCTGACAAACACCGTTATGGCAAAATTGTTCGCGAGTTAGTAGCAAAATTTCGCGAAACTGGTTCTGTTATGAATAAAAAGAGACAGAGGGAAAATCATGTACTGGGCTGAAGACAACCCCAGGGTTTTTCACGAGGTGCACACACAAAACCCTCAGAAATTGAACGTGTGGGCTGGTATTTTTGGAAATTCTCTTGTGAGTCACTTTAACGATATTGAGAAGAACTTCAACGCACAAGTCACAGAACATCTATCTAGCAATTACCACACCTGATCGTTGAACCTTGTGGCAAGTGAAAAAATGCGTAAACATCTAGAAATAATTAGAAAAAACATCAAATTGGTCGAAGGAATTTATCCTTATCATTTACCCTGATAAATGTTTAAATAAACTTTTCAAATTTCAATCCTTCATATTTTCTCAATGACTCGACCGATTTTCAAAAACGAGGCGGCGAAATATAGAGAATAAAATGCTCTTTTCATTGCGGTGCTACTTGAGCCCCCTTCCCATTTGAAAAAAATTGGGAGATGACACCCCCGCTTAGAGGGTTGAAGATTTAGCAATAATTTTTCGGGCAAAAGTTGTCCCCCTCACAAACAAAATTGACGTGTTTTTGGATTTTTTGAAAACCACCCTGTATTCTTCATTATACATTTTTTGGGAAAGTGCGCTATAAAATCGTATTTGCGGCATAATAAGTTTTTAAAAAAATGAAATAATAAACCCATATCCTTATTTAAAAGAAATAAAGTTGATATTTCCAGAAAAAACAAAAGGTTGATGGTTTTGGCCTTGCTGCCAAATTGCAACCGCAATGCTGGATTTGCGTCTTGCGTAAGGGTACGCACACAAAGAAAGCTCATTAATCAGCGCTTATTTCCATAGAAAACAATCGTCAGAGCCAGCGCCGAAAACCACAATTTGTACACTGGCAAGCTTACAACAAGCGCCGACAAGTTTTTTCTGCGTGTAGGTGTATTTAAAGCTAGTAGTGGGAACTATCGAATGAATACTATCGAAACATTCGATAGTTGCAATTCATTCGAATAATTCGATAGTTAGTAAGAAAACATTCGTTGAAAACTATTCGAATAAAAATTATCGAATAGATCCGTCATCTGCCTTGAAATATTGTATTCTAGTAATTCAGCAGCAAAAACCATTCATTTATAAAATTCATTCATTTATTCGTCAGGATCGATTATAATAAAATATTAACTGAATTTTAGTTGTCGCCCGGCGACGTAGGTTTCTTTCCGAGAAGCCCGACAGCGGTCGGTGGCAATGCTATGAAAGAAGCCGGCATCTTTGATTTTTTGCGGAGTCAGATATGGATAAGGACACATTATTTTTTTTATTGAGGTGCTAGTATTTACACAGAAAATACATTATGAAGGGCGCTGTTGCCATATTTTGGTATTAGTTGATATTAGCAAAGAATATTATTGTTTGGCTTTAGTTAGTTAGGGTTAGTATGTCTATATATTCTGCATTTTTTTAATTAATATTCTGTTGTTACACTGCAATAATACTTGTTATTTTGGATGTAGGAAAAGTTAGTAATGTTTTTAAGCAAAGACTGGTTTAATAAATAATAATAACAGTAATAATTTGTTATACCTATTAAGAACAAAATTTAAAATCATTTAATATAAATATTTTTTTTAAGTAGTAACAAAATATAAACAACAAATTAGATGTCAGAATTATTTATATTAGATCCTATTTAAAAATAATATAGTCTCTAAATTTTTTGTGTGTGGCAACGTTGGTTTATTAAATAATAATAATTACAGAACTAATTTGTTATATTAACAACAAATTTTAAAATCATGAAATATAAACATTTATTAATTTTTTAAGCATGCAGTGTAATGGAAGGAAAATAGAAATAAAAAATTAGAAATCAAAATTATTTATATTAGGTGCTTTATATTACTATTTAAAAATTATATTTACTTTTACTGGCATTTACTTTAAAAAATAAATGAAATATTTCTTAGCAAAAAAATGTAACAATGTAAACATGTAAAAGAATTAGCATAAACAAAATACAAAGATCGTTAACTTTTTTTTTTAAATTGGCACGTGTAAAACTTTCATTTTAATTTTCTCACCCCATAGTTTGAGTTCGATAACCATTTACTTAATCACATTACTTAAATATGATTAAGTTCAACTAATTCATATTATTAAAACATTTAAAATACAAATATGTATTTTTAAAATTAATTGTAAGTTCATCTCATTTCTCTTAAAAATTGCTACTTCTCAAAATTTTCCATTAAAAAATAGACCATATACCATATAAAATTAAATAATTGAAAGATCGGACTACGGAAAACCACACAAATTTTCGGAAAAATTTTGACCACCTGCACATGCACACAATCGTCAATAAATAAAAATAAAAAATAACTACTATTTTAGTATTTTAACTATTTTAATAAACGCAAAAATAGCACAGTATTTATACGGCGAAGTTATAAAAATTTGGAAGTACTAATAATCATCTAATAATGCACTGATGCATACAAAAATCAAACGAATACTAAATTTCATTTATCAAAAGCATTCGATAGTCGTGGCTCAACGATAACCATTTAGTCGCACGGCGAGGTTGTCACATATGCTTTAGTATACAAATGAATGAATGATTTTATTCGAATAAAACCATTCAATAGTTGAAATCATTCATTCATTAACCATTCGATAGTCTAATTCATTCGATAGTTCCCATCGCTATTTAAAGCTCTTTTAATTATATTATTAGCGCTTACTTTTTACTTTCATTGTGTACTATTGAGACGACTTGTAGGCGCTGGTAATAAGCGCTGATTAACCAGCCTTCTTTGTGTCCATTCCCTTAGAGTACGCAATTTTTAATTCTTGATCGCTTGTTGTCTGTGCTGGGTCTGCATATTGTGGTTTTTAGCGAGGGTTACCCAGCTTTCTGTGTGTGCGTGCCACAAGATTCCTACAAGAGGAATGTAGTCAGGTGATGTGTGAGGTTTGACTCCATAACTTGTGCTTCTTGTGTCCCTATCTTGTGCTTCATGTACAAGCGTGTGCAGTGGCTTGTGGATGATCTTTGACAGCTGGTCTATCCATCGGGAGGGTGAGCGGCCTCTTGGCTTTTTTTCCTGGAACCTGGCCCTGTGTAATGAGTTTCTCCATACAGTCAGTATCCCTCCTCATAACGTGACCGAAATATTTAAGTATCCGTGACTGAATAGAAGTTGAGAGACGTTCTGTGATGTTTTAAGTTCTATTAAAGAATAATAATTATTATAGTGTAATACATGCTTATTGCTTTTTAGAGAATATGACGTTGTTGTGGTTGGTGGAGGAATTGTGGGTGCAGCTTCAGCAAGGGAACTTAAAATACGCCACCCTAAGCTTAAAATGGCTATATTAGAAAAGGAAAGCGAATTAGCAAAACATCAAAGCGGTCATAATAGTGGAGTTATACACGCGGGTATTTACTATAAGCCAGGTAATCAACCTCATTATCTTCATTTAATGAACTGCTCTACTTGTTCTATTTTAGTATTTATAGTATTATTAATTGTCCGTCAGCGTAATGTGGTAATGTGGTATTAAAAAAAATGTTAAAATTGCATTTTATTTTAAATATGTATTTAATATAAACATATCTATATTTAACCTCAGAACCAATAAAAATTGTCTATATACAGGGTGAGTTTCCTACGATGTTCTCTATGGGCATCTCGGAAACTACTGGAGATAGAGAGTCGTTTAAATGGGGAAAGAATTGCAGTTTTGTGGGGTCATAAATATGCGCCTTTCAGATTTTTGAAAAAGTTCATGGCTTACTAGATATTTCGAAAAAAACAAATTTTGGCTATTTTAAAAATTGTCCCAATTCCATTACAATCTATTTTATACAAAAAGTGTTCAGATAAAAGTTGTAGATAATCACATTCCTAATGAGTTTGTGTTCTCCGATTTTTTATAAAACCTGTCATTTTTGACATATGACACAAACATATTTTTTTTTAAAATGGAAACCATAGTTGGCTATGACTTCATAAAAGCGCCATTTTTTAAGCTTTTCAGCAATATAAGCTATAATATGTTTCTTTCACAAAATTACTGAGTTATAACCAATTCTTATCTTTCTTGACTTGTTATAGCCAATTCTTATCTTTTTCGAAATATCTAGTAAGCCATGAACTTTTTCGAAAATCTGAAAAGCGCATATTTATGACCCCACAAAACTGCAATTCTTTCCCCATTTAACTGACTATCTCCAGTAGTTTCCGAGATACCCATAGAGAACATCGTAGGAAACTCACTAAGAAACTACTAGTTTTAATATTATACAACCATAGCAATAATCAATCGTTGTTCATCAACAATAAAATTCGTAAAGTAACCACTCCCGAACTTGTAACGTCACTTTCTTTCGACACTGTTTTTCCCATTTTTGATTATTATTTTAATGTACTTAATTCAAATTCGCGTCCACACCGTTACTTAGGTGCCCAACGGATATAGACGACGAGTCCGTAGGCAGGGTCGCCATGTAAAAATGTGTTTAGGGTCATGTAAATGATTACTCGTTTGCTGCCATACTAATACTAATTTATTCTACCTTTGTATAATATAAATTTATAATGTTCAATTGATTGATTGACACGTCTACAAAAGCCGTTGACGTTGTGTAATAAACAAAAAAAAAAATTTTTTTTCGCGAAAAAACCTTGTACAATGTACCTAGAATGCTTAGGAGGGGAGTTAGTGCCCGCGACCTTACAGATATACATATTGTGTGCTTTCTTTTCTTGTTCCCCTACTCATCATACAGGCTCAGGGCTTTAACAAAAGCCAGTATCTGAGACGGCTCCACAGAGGCCAGCTCTCCATTCTTGACATCATCAGCCGTACCAAAGTTCATGGCACGAACAGTCATCGTCTCGGCGCATTCAGTTCCCCATTTTCCCCACAGAATCTGCATTCGCCGTTGTTTCTCAGCTTCACTGAGGTGTTCGTTGAGGAGACAGTGTCCTGTTAGAAACCCCGTGCCAATCCGAAGATTATTTTTACTTAAATAAAGGAAAATCTTTGATTTTTCTCGGTCGTAAGTTCTCACGAACTCTTTCGAGTGTCTTAGACCGTTGGAGAACACCCCATTTCAGGTTACGGTGGAGTCTTTCAAGTTCTTCAGTTCTGCTTTAAGTTGGTTTCTACTTGGGAAGCAGAAAGGTCCTGGTCCGGGGGTCCTAACATCATCATCTATCCCTTGGTGAAAAAAACCTTATAATCGTGTTTCTGGGGTCGAAATATAGTACCTACTCCAAAAATATTTGAACATATTTAAGACTTACTCTGTATTAGTATAACTGTTTCTTCTAATATGACAAAGAAAATTAGAGGATGAAATATAAAAATATATTCAGAATCGACAATTAAAGAAGTTTTAATTTTGTAGGATCCCTTAAAGCAAAATTATGTGTAGAAGGTTTACAACTGATGTACAAGTATTGCGACCAAAAGAAAATACCCTACAAAAAGGTAGGAAAACTCATTGTGGCGACCAACGAAGTAGAAGTGAAGAGACTTGCAGATCTTCATGATAGAGGTAAGCATAATATTTCCTCTAAAAAATATTTTATATTTCTTTTTTATTTCTGGTAAATTCTAAGTAGTTTATCACTGTAGGTCTAAAACTGATTTGATGTTTCAAGATATGCCTTGACCAATAATACTGATTTTGGTAAGCACTTCATTCCGCTGTTTGCGGATTGAAGGTTACATGTTTATTTTTTTCATGATCTTGGTCTTGTAGACTTGGTCTTGCACAAAAAACAAGACCGATCAAGCATACAAAACTCTTGCGGTCTTGAATTTTCTTTCTGATTTTTTGTTAGGTTAAACTTCATTCAGATTTAACCATCTCCTGATGATAATTAGCAACACGCGTCCAGTGTTAAAAATAAAGTGACGTTTTGGTGTATTTTGGTGAATTACTGTTTTAATTTGCTGTTGTAACACCAAAGATTCCTACTGTAATCTTATTTTATCTTTTTAGATAATAATTAAAAAACTATGAAATTTTTATTTACTTACGAATATTGTTTACCCTACATTTGCATACAATTTCAAAGGAAGCGATGCTTCAAAAGACCCAAATCTCGGGCTTAATTCGTCGACCATTAGGGGGAAAATTGTACCACCGTGCTCGGTCGGCTATGGCCGAAAAAAAATCCTCAAATGGCCGCAAATGGGAAAATCAGTTTTATTAAATATCTGCTAAAATATGCAATTTACAATATTTTTCTTGGCATAAATAATGAAGCTTAAGTCAATATCAATTCAAAAGAGGCTCTGGGACTTTTATCCGTAAAGTCACTTAAAGTGCTTAAAAACGGTTCTAATAAGTCAACGAACGGTGTTTCCGCCAATATTGACCGAAAATATGACATGTAGATGATTTCCATGATCAAATGGAAGATTAGGTCCTCAGCTAAAATAATCCTAACACCTGTTTTCATAAAGTTGTGTTGGTTTTGGTTAGGTTAGGTCGTGATTATCCGCAATCACAGCAAACGTAAACATTAAAAGCCATCACAACCAACGAACCAATTCGACTATTTGTAATTATACAATTTTCTTTTGTTTACGACACTTTCTGGAAATTCAAAAAAAGCGAAAAAAGCCACTCACGAATAGTTTTTTAACAAATACAAATACTTCAAAGTTTGTGAGTTGCTTATAGAGGCTTTTAACAGTCGTTCTTAGAGTCTCTATAAGCAACTCACAAAACTCTTGACAAATAAGTTATTATTAGTGAAAATATGAATAAGTTTACAAAATCTGAATATTTTTGCAAAAATAGCCAAGTAGGCCAGTCGGTACGTCGTTTTAAATAGGCCTAGATGGAAATAATTAGGGGCAAGAAGCTGTATTATTTTTTATTTTCTTTGTTTTGATGTGCTGAATGATATATTCAATTTGCACGGTCTGTCGCCCCGCCATTTTGAAGAAGTTGATATAAAAACTACATTTTTATGGTTTTTTTTTTAAATATCTCGGTCTGGGTGCATTGTAGAAAAAAAATGCAGGTAACTAAAAATAAAGCAAATTATAATTTGCTTTATTTTGCTAATTCTCTACAAAAAAGGTTCTATTAATTATTCTCGTAAACTTATCAGTTCTAAAGTTATAGCAATTAACATCTGAGGCTTATTTTTAAATACATCTTAATGTGCGCTAGCGTTAAATTAATAGATTTAGGAAGAACAGATATCACATTATGCATTTTAACCCGATCAAACATTCGGAGGTTGACTACGTACTGTAAAAATCAACTGAGATAGAGAAGGCGACATTGCCACATATCAAATTTGCGCCTATCTACTTAGTTTGATTTGCAGAAAAGGTGACTTTAAAACCTCACCAGATATCAATAAATCTCAATTTCTTAATTAAATTAACAGTTTATTTTTTGTTCCAAAGCATGCGTAATAATATGTTATTAACCAGAGGATATATGCGTTACTATTAAAAGACATGTTTACTGTTTAATGTGCTGAAACGTCTAGAACTACTGGCAACGTCGCTGCTAGACTTCCAGAATGAAATGAGCCGTCTTCCAGAATGAATAGTCCGTTATAGCGTACTACGTTTAGCTTACGGTGTGTTTGAAGTCGGAATGAAGTCCGAAGTGAACTTTTCAGTGTTTTTCAGTAGTTTTTGTTTTTGTTTAATGTACTTTTGAATCTGCGAATTTTCAATATGGTACGACAGTGCCAAATGTGTGGACAAATAAGCTCAAATTACCCGAATTTTCTTTTCACAGGTAGGTATTGTTTCCGCCGCGCCGTAATCGTACATAGGCGTCCCACAAGGGAGCCTCTCACAATTAAAATAATTTCTAATTATATTTGTTGAATTTTGATCTATTAAAACAAGAAGGTAGTAGCCGGTAATTGAATTATAATTCGTCTCAATTACTACCTAACTGTCGTAGATCATAACAAATTTGAATATAAACGTTACATTTGAAACTTTATTATAAGCCAGAAAGTGACATTTTTTTTTAAAATTGCGTCCTATTTTGGTCATTATATACGATATTCTAAAGGAATTTTGCTCAATAAATAAACAAAGGTGTTTACCCGACCTTTTTTACATTTTATTGCTTTATTATATCTGCCCTTTCGGCCTTGTTTAGACAATTTTTTACCACCGTACAAATACATCTTCCTAGAGTTACTAATTAGGTACTAATTTTGAAAAGTTCTTTTTAAGATAAAAAAAGGTAAAACTAAAACCTAAACTATCATTTGAGATTAAACGGGAAGTTCTAAATAATGTTGAATGACCAAACCAAACCAAACCAAACCAAACCAAACCAAATAATGACCAAACCAAACCAAACAAGTTAAGTTTTATAACATTCCTAATTAAATTTGGGCGAAAAGAACATTTCTGTTTGCTGTAGGTAATTTTCTCAGGGAAAATACGTAAATAAAAATGACTTTTTAAGTCAAAAAAAGTCAAAAGGATAAGTTATTCCAAAAGGACTGTCCTTTTCAAAAAGGACAAGTGGCAACCCTAGGTATTTCTGGCATGGAAATTTAATGGCAAATCTACAACTTTGGTTGGAAAATATGTTCCGGCCACCTATGTTTACAAAAATGTCTAAAATGTGCCTAAATGCCTCCATATTCTGAAAAAAAATTGAAAGAAAAGTCACCAACCACAAACCTAATATAGAACTGTTTCGAAGCCTGAGTCACCCTGTAAATATTCAAAAGTAACTGAAAGTTTATATAGAAGTAACTGAAAGTTTAAATTGAAAATCGACGTTGGAGTGATTTTCGAAAACTACTAACGTTTCAACATAAGTATATGTGGGATATTAATTGTATTATTATATTAGACCTTATAACAAAACTCATCTGACGAAAAAGTGTTAACGTAGTATATTAATATGGTGTAAAAATTTTACTAATTACTTTACTTTTACTTTACTAATTAAATTCGTTCCAAAAAACGATACGCCACTGGCCATTAGAACAATCCCAAATGCGCCTAGATGCCGGTGTCGGAAATTTTAGACTTCTCTGTCTCTTCTGTCCTTGTTTGGCACATTGGAATGTTTGATACACTACCAACGAGTATTTATGAATGAGATGTTCGGTCTATCTTTATAATGTCTTTGGTTAAATTTGATACTTGATCTATTCGACAACAGCGCGGGGTGCGATCAATTACATTACCAAACCAGTTCGGGCGACTTTTAGTTTTAGTGTTTCATTATTCTATTCACCCTCTGCATCAATATTCGATACGGCTGTGAAAGAAAACATTTTGTTTTTACATGCATTTAGTGGGGTGTCGCACCCACTTCAGCAATTTACAGGCAGGGTAAAATGAAGTTCCTTATGGTTCTAAGAAATCAGACAAGTTTGAAAACTGCCATTTACTGTTTTAGAGACCCAAATGCAACTCCAGAAAGCATAGTCAAAGTTAGAATTCAATATCTTCTTGCACATTATGGACCAAAGAGCGACGATACATCACTACACATCTATAGATATTGATTTTTTGCGCAATTTATAACAAAGAGTTTATTTAATTTTGCATCCCTTCCTCAGATCGAAGATGCGGCTCGCATGCACTCATTTCGTACATACCTACAAGTCCAAAAATGGTACGGTAACGAAAAAATACCCACTGACTGGGGTTGGAAGCAGTCGTCCAATGGACTTATACCGATTCCTATGCTGCAAGACGCCGCTCCCCAAGAGTTATTGAAGATGATTTCTTGTAAATGCAGAAAAGGTTGCAACGCAGCCTGCAGCTGCAGAAAAGCAGGATTAGTTCGGTAGTGTGCGGTTCGTGCCAGGGAAGAGCGTGTTCAAATTCCGAAATAACTCTAGAAGATCCAGGGGACGACGAAGAAATCAATTCTCGATTAGAAGAATTAATGACCAACAAAAATATCGAAGACATAGACATTGAACAAAAACCAGATGAACAGTTTGATGAAAAATATATTGATGTAAGTCAATTGATCAACCTTCTATGTCAATAAAAGCAGACGGTGAAAATACATAATACTTATAAAGCATATCATGTCATATGGATACAAAAATAGAACATTTTCAACGGCAAGAAAGTAGATTAGGACTATAGGGGAAATCACTTAAAAAAAGTGTGCCGAGTGCTCTGCCGCCAGGTGGTGTGGAAACGAGCAAAACAAAAACACAAATTTGTACTGGCAAATTATTCAAATCTACATAGAATCAGTGTCTCATATTAAATGAACAACTAGAAAATATATGCTTTGTATTTAAGCGCCTTTATCTCGTTAACCTGTTCATGCATGAAATTAGTGAATAGGACCTTTTTCGTAGAGAATTTAAATAGCTTTCTTTTTGGTCTCTTGCAAATTTTCTGTACAGTGCACCCAAACCGAGTTATTTAAAAAAACCATAAAAATGTCATAATTTGACAGAATTTTTCAATATGGCGGCCAAATCCGGGATCGATAGACCGTGCAAATTTAGTAGAGTATTCAACAAAGCAAAAAAAAGAGAATAAGTGTTATAGCAGCTTGCCCCTAATTATCTCCACATAAAACCACTTGTTGACTGGTCTAAAGGAATTATGACAAAATTCAAACGTTCAAAAAATAAAAAAGTTCCAAAGTTTGATAGCTGTTGATTCTACCTTTTAACGAAGTTTGAATCATCAACAAATATTAAATTTTAGCCGAGTTGTTAAACAATTTGTCCTATCAATCAATGATACGCTCATGAAATCTATCTTCGGAGCGTTAAGACTTGGAAAGAAAATTGGGGGACCTTTGAGGCGGAATATCACGAAAACTACTAATTCAACGTAAAAAATTACAAGAACCATTTTTGGAGGTAATTACCTAAGCTTCATTTTTTATTTGAAAAATTTTGTAAATTGCATATTTTGGCAGATATTTTAAAAAACTGATTTTGACTGAGTGTTACAATGTTTTCAAAAGGTACACAAACACAATCCGCCTGAAAAGTCTCGGTCGACGAATTAAGCCGTGGTTTCAACCTTCAATTCATCATCATCATCATCATTTTCAGCTTATTCAACCTTTTCCAATTATGGTATCCGTCCCTCACATACTCTCTTTTTAGTTGGATCCATTGTTGTATATTGTTGGCTATGCGGGCCCATGTTATCCTTGCTAATTTCCTAATATCATGGTCTCATCTCAGGTTTGGTCTTCCTCTAGGTCTCTTAATTCCTTGCGTGGGTACCATGCTGTAATTATTTTGGTCCATCTGTTGCCTGCCCTTCTTGCCAGCTGTCCTGCCCATTGCCAGTTGAGCGATTTCATTCTGTGGATGACATCTATTATCTGGGTCTTTTGTCGTATCCACTCTATTCTTTTACGGTCTCTCTTGGTTATTTCCAGCATATTTCGTTCCATTGAGAGTTGAGCGATTTATAACACACATTTTTATTTACTTACAAACAGGTGTTTACCCGACATTTGCATAAAATTTCAACAGAAGCAATACTGATTTAATATAATATATTGGAAAATAAAAAAAATCATCAGAAAAATATTGTTTCTTTTTTTTAAGTTTCATTTGCATGAAACTATTTAAAAAAATAGTATTAATTTAAAGATTTTGTAAGGAGAAATACTTTTAGTAAAAGTCAATTAAAAATATGCAAGAGTGTGACGACAAGACCAAGACTGGACACTGTAAAACTATTACTATTTATTGAACCTCAAGACCAAGACCAGGTGGGTCTTGCAGTTTAATAAATAGTATATATGTCTTGCAATTGCTCATCACTATCCAAAAAACTTTTAATTATACACTTTTTATACGTTCTGAAATTAATTTGTAATATATTAAAAATACTTCTTGATTTCCAGCTATACAAAATAAAGTTCCTGATATCAAACTACTGAACGGAGTAGAAGAAATTCAAAAAATTGAACCCTATTGTGTGGGACTTCAAGCCTTGTGGTCACCTCATACAGGAATTATTGACTACACATTGGTCACTAAACAGTATGGAATAGACTTTAAAGAACAAGGTGGAGAAATCCATCTTAATTTCGAAGTAATTTATTATCTATAGTATACTATTTTTGTATGGTAATTTTAGATAGAGTCCTTTTAGGTCAACGGTTTTGAAAATTCCAAAGACAATAACTATCCAGTATTAATTAAATCTAAAGATGGGCAACAAGTCAAAAGTAAATACGTGTTAACTTGCGGTGGACTTCATTCAGATAAATTAGCAGAATTATCAGGTACGTCTAAAATTATTTATTTATTTGTAACCCTAAAGATCTATTTTGCTGCATATTATAATTTCTTCGGTGAGGCTTTACGGTTTCATTTGCCAATAACCAATATATAAATTTATCATAAAACTCGGGATAAAATTACTTTATTCCACTCGTGGAATACTGAAATAAAAAATACGAATATTCTCTAGACTCTCGCAGACGGTGTATAGGTAGTTACTTCTTGACTTTCCGCAAAAATTACTGCAGGAATACCACCATTCTAATATATTTTCTGTATGTCAGAATTAAGATCCACACTAAAGTTATATTTTTTCTTCTGGAACAGCCAGTATTTTATTTCATTTTTGGATCCATGGACACAAAATAAGGCATTTATTATAACGGTTAAATATGTTTACATGCTTTGGTTTTTGAGATGTTTAAAGATATTTAAATATGCATGCTATGATAAAGAAGATCCTCAACGCTAGGGTGTCCGTTATTTTCCAAGTTGATTTTTTTGTTGCCGCCCTCTGAAATTTTAGTTTTTGCTCTAAAAAAAATTATCCGACGTAAACAAGCTCTTAATTATTAAATTAAACCGTGTTGGAATCATGATACTTTTCCTCTTTAAATAACATGGAATTTTCACTTGTGTCTAGCCCCAGCAAGGCAACTATTAAGCTTGACCCTTGTATATGAATTTTTAAAGTAGCTCAACCTAAGACGTTTATGGATGTAAAGCACCAGATGGCGGGGCGTATTTCACGGTCTTTTACTACAGAAAAATATTTTTTGTTACTCTGAATTTTGAAGCGACCAATAAAAACAGAGAAAATAAAAATCGATAATTTTCGGAGAGTGCCAATTGGTTACTAATCGACCAGATACTTTTTATCTATTAGATATGCTATAAAAGCTTGTAATTATACAATTGTGACCATTGTTTTATTTCCTTTCAAATTTCGCAAGGCCGACGAGGCCGATGCTTTTCACTGATAAGAAAAAACAATGTTTGTTTGGATAATTTTCGAGATATTTTTTCTTTTGAATGCACATTTTTAAAGTATTTATATTCTTTGTCCGCTTGATCTAATATACTGATTGCACGTATCGAAATTCTGTTTCTTCTAGTTTTAAAAAACACACATCTTATTTCTTTGTAGTTGTAGTGGTTGTAATGTAAATTTAGTTTTGATCAATTGATCATAGATCCAAAATTTCATTAAGTTTAATAATAATGTTTAGTGTAGAATACCAGAAATAGTTTAGTAGTGTTTTTATAGTTTATTATTTTGTAGTTAATCGAAGTAGGTGAAGGGATAATTTGGTTATTTTTTGGTTTGTGTTGATTAATTAGTAAGATTTGATAATTTTTTTCAGTGTAGAATACAAGAAGTAGTTGTGTAGTGTTTTTATAAGAGATTATATTAGTTTATTTTGTAGATGAGAAATTAGGTGAAGGGCATTGGGTATTATTTCTTTTTGTTTTACTTCTAATTGTAGTAATTCTATTATTGTATTGTGTTATCATATAATTTTAATAACCTTTTCTGGTAGAATATACAAAAAAATCTGATCCAAATTTTATTTTATATTAAATTAATCGAGACTTTTTAAATCAAATTAAAATCTAAACAAAATAATGATAATAGTTAGTTTGTAAATACTATAACAGGTGAGTTTCCTACGATGTTCTCTATGGGTCTCCACATGTAACCACTGGAGATAGAGAGTTTCTTGGGGAAAGAATTGCAGTTTTGTGGGGGTCCTGTACATTCATTATTTTCTGTGTTTTCAAACACTTTTGCTAGTCATTACCTGAAAACTATGTATTTCTATTTTAAAACTTGTCTATATTTCCATTATAATCTATAATTTTCGAATAAAAACTTCATTCACGATGGCTTTGAAATAGAATAAATTACTGTCATTTTTATGTAAAATTATATGGGAAATATTTATCGATCGTCACAATGCATATCGCTGACAATTAAAATTCGATATACGGTATCCTAGACAAAAGTTTTCAGATAAAAAGTTGTAGATAATCAGAAAGCCTAATAATTAGTTTGTGTTTTCTGTTTTTTGTTTAAAGCCTGTCGTTTTAGACATATGACACAAACATTATGTTTTTTTAAATGGAAACCATAGTTGGCCATGATTCATGGAAAAGCGCCATTTTTTAAGCTTTTCTACTAATATAGGTATAATACCACCAATTTTGAAAAATTAAAGTTATAGCCAATGCTTTTCTTTTTTCCATACTCTTAATACCATGCCAATTAGTTGGCATCAAAATGTAAAGAGTATTATGTTTTCAAAAAAGGCTCGTTCAATTCGTAAAACAGTTTTTTAGAATAAAATAATCTTAAGAATGAAATGAATCTTTTATAAACCTGCATTAAATCAAATGTAAACATAGGCTATTTTGGGGCTTTTTTAAATATTAATTAACAGCAATTAGCATTATCATAAATTGTTAGCAAATAATGTTTACGCTGACGATATCGAAATAATAATTTCTTTGTTAATCCTGTTTAGAATTATTAAAATAACAGGCAAAAATAATCCACAATTCGAATCAAATAAAAGTTTCGTTTAAATTTCTTAATCAGCTGGTCACTATTAAAGTTCTGTAGAAACCCGGGGCTTTTGGTATTACTCTGAGGAAAATAACGAAAATAATCGATATTTTCGAACTCCGCCCCTGAAATAAATTCACGATTTATCCTCCAGTTGGCAGCACATTTTGTCTAGTCGGTTGAACAACAAGGGCTTGACCAATCATCCCGTTAGAGTTTTTGACAAAAGCGGATTCTCTTTCAACATCTGTCATGTACTATATAGATTTATTACAAACAAATAAAGAAACTCAATGAGTATCTAAAAACAAATATAAATTTTAAAATGTTCCAACCCCACCTTGCATTACAAAGACCAATGAATTAACACCATTCAAAAATAGCCAGCAAAGCTTGTATAGTTGCTTTTTTGGGGCTAGACAATATGACCATATTAGTCAACCTTTTAAGCATTAAGGATTTTTATCTCCAAAGCAAATGAACCTACAGCTCCGACGATTCGACATATTCTATTACAAAATTTTACGCTCTACAAAAAAGGTCTCTTTGGTTTTTTCCATAAAAACATTCCTTTAAAAGTTATTTGCGGTCAAAATTATGCACATAGTTTATAATCAATAATCATTTATGTCCCGCCCTCAGATAACCTTCACATCGCATTAAAGAATAGACACCGTAATGATTCATTCGGACGTTCGAGAAAAATCGAGTTCCATTAGAATGGAGTAGTACATACGAGAACAATCGAAACCTTCTGTATTCACCTAACGATCTATGGACTATTCTAGAAATCTTAGCTGTAGGTATAAAAGCCGGCGGCTGTGGCCTAAAGAGGGCAGTTATAAATAGACGAGTACAGTTGACGCGCTAAAATTCAAAATAAATTCTTAGTTATAAATCGTTTGTAAATAGTTCTTTAAGTCTTTTATCGTTATTGTTTTTGTTAATTAGTGTTAAATAAATAGTGTTTAAATAAATTGTGACTTTCTATCCACACGGAACCGACGACCGCTATTATTGTATATGGCACAGTTGTACAAATAAAGTCCTTTATTATTATTATTATTATTATTAATTTATTACACTTATTACGAGATTCTGAGTGAAGCTTTATAATACAAATTTCGTGGAATGTTGCTTTAAATCTCCCTTACTTTTTAGGTTGTCCTAGGAATCCCAGAATAGTCCCATTTAGAGGTGAATACTTGCTTTTGAAGCCTGAAAAAGCGGCAATGATCAAGGGAAACATTTACCCCGTTCCCGATCCTCGTTTTCCATTTTTAGGAGTCCATTTCACTCCAAGAATGGACGGAAGCGTTTGGTTAGGCCCAAATGCTGTTCTAGCTTTTAAAAGAGAAGGATACACGTGAGTACATTATGTACCTTTAGACTCAAACGAACCAATTCATATTTCTATAGGTGGACAGATATCAACTTATCAGAATTAATGGACGCCTTATTCTATCCTGGATTTTTGAAACTGGCCTTTAAATTTGTGTTCGCTGGTGCAGAGGAGGCTGTGAAATCTCTGTTTCCCTCTTTACAGGTTAAACAATTGCAACGATTTGTTCCATCGATTACGTCGGATGATGTTATTTCAGGCCCTGCAGGAGTTAGGGCACAAGCTTTAGATGCTGAAGGTATGACTTTTAGCGATGCAAATTGGTCTGCAAATTTGCAAATGCAAGATGCAGACCAAGATTCCCTTAGTCTTGGTCTTGGTCTTGCAGAGTCATCTTGTTCTTGCTCTTGCTGCATGACTCTTGCGAGTTTAGCACTTTTTAATAGATTTATACTAGTCATTTTCTACATATAAAGAACTCAATAAAAGTTATCAAACTATTACCAAATTAAATTTCTAACAAATAATAATTCGTTTGAAACTTAGGGCGTACTTTTTTACATTTTCTTACAATACTATATCCTAGTTAAAAATTATTGTACAGGGTGTTATTCTATTAATAACCTTTTCTATTGTAGCATGCATATTTAAATATCTCAAAAACCAAATATTATAAACATATTTAACCACAGATCTGTGATTTAACCCTTATAATAAACGCCTTTTTTTAACAAAAAAAAGTATAAAGTGTGGCATATCATTGTATTCAGGAGACCGAGTTCTTTCAAAACCTGAAATAAAAAATGCAGGTCCGTGTTAAAAAAAATTAAGTTGGCCTTTGTATCTCAAAAATTATCAGCTAATTTGAAAATCTAAAAATACTATCAGATAGCCCTAATAAAGTGGATATGAGAATGTGCAATTAGTTTTTTGATTTTCGAAAAAGTAACAACAGGAAAAATAAAATTGATTTTCAAGAAAATCAATTTTTTTCAAAAAAACTCAGCAATCCTTGAAGATTTTAAAACTTTTTTGATGGCATCTTGGTGAACATGCCAAAGCGCAACCTTGCCCCAATTTAACCATGTTCGTATCTATTACGGTTACCGAGATACCAATGCTCGTACCTCGAATTTGTAGCACCCTGTATATCTAATATAGTTTTGATTTCAGGGCAGTTCTAGTATTTGTAATATTTTTTTAAGAAACGCTGAAATTATATATTTTTTATTTATTTATTAACATCTTTGCAACTATCGAAATATATTTACTCATATCATATCCTATTTTCAGCTTTCATTTATTTAGAAAACTTCCCAATAACTTTAATTGCATTTTTTTGCAAAATATTCATAGACAAAGCGATATAAAGTATGTAAAGAAATATTTGTATAGAGTATGACTCCTGATTATCTTTACAAAGGGAAAATATTTTTATTATTGACATTTTTAGAAAAATCCATTCATCAGAATTTTTCTCAAAAAGTAAATAAAAATAAAAATAATAGAATAGTTTTTCCTCTTGTAAAGCCAATCCGGAGACATTCTGTACGTATTTTGTTTAAAATTGATCTTTGATAAAATTTTATTTGACACTTTCAATGTGCCAAAAGTCACGTGTATTCGTCAAATATTTTGATGACGTGCGTGCCAACTTTTATTGATTTTTCCATAAATGTAATTTCTTTTTAGGTAACTTGATAGAGGACTTCGTGTTCGATATGTACAAAGGTACTGGCGAGGATTCAGTAGGAGGTCGCGTATTGCACTGCCGAAATGCCCCAAGTCCTGGGGCAACCAGCTCTTTGGCCATTGCCAAAATGATGGCCGATAAACTCGAAAGTGAATTCAAATTCATCAAAGAATCATCATAAAAAGAAACGCAGCTTGAATACGAAATATAGCATGCTAAACTTAAGGCTTGGGAGTAGAACTTTACCTACAACTCGAAAAGTTGATGCCATTAAATGCTGTGATGATATAATTATTTAATTTAGAGTAAGACATAATCAGTACTGTTGTTAAATTGTTAATGTTTTCAATTCTAAAAATTTTAATCATTGTTTATACATGTTATTTCATAAACAGAGTATATTGCACGCTTATTTTTATGTCAGTTTATATATTAAGAATAATAATCCAATATATATTTATAATCTTATGAAAATGTTATTTGTTATCTTCTAATAATACCAAAATATAAAATGTAATTATTTTTTTCTTTATGAACAAAAGCCCATTTTTTCATGTTACCACAATAGTACTATTTTTTTCTTATGTAATAAATTCATTCAGTTTTTTAAGTTTAATTTTATAAGAACTGCGAATTTGTAATAAAATAAAGTATATTTTTAAAATTTGTCTAATTAATCTATACTAATATACAGGGTGAGTTTCCTACGATGTTCTCTATGGGTATCTCGGAAACTACTGTAGATAGAGAGTCGGTTAAATGGGGAAAGAATTGCAGTTTTGTGGGGTCATAAATATGCGCCTTTCAGATTTTTGAAAAAGTTCATGGCTTACTAGATATTTCGGAAAAAAATAAATTTCGGCTATTTTAAAAATTGTCCCTAACTCCATTATAAGCTGATTTAGACAAAAAGTTTTCAGATAAAAGTTATAGATAATCATAGCCTTAATAAGACTGTGCCCTCCGTTTTCTTCTAAAGCCTGTCATTTTTGACATATGACACAAACACATGTTTTTTTAAATGGAAACCATAGTTGGCCATGTCTTCATAAAAAGCGCCATTTTTAAGCTTTTCAGCGATATAAGCTAAAATATGTTTTCTTCGAAAAATTACTGAGTTATAGCCAATTCTTATAATTTTTAAACAATTTCACGTAATTAGCCATGGAAACAAGTTTAATCGTCTTTGCTCTCGGAAATGTGAAGCTGTCACATCCAAACTTCGTAAATTAAAATAAGCAAAAGTTGTAAATATGAATTTTTCAAATGAAGAAAAGCGTGTAGGATTATTGGTTCATCTTTTCTTGACCATACATTTTCGAGGATACTTTAACCGGTGAATGTTACGATTTTTAGAGAACGGTTTTCAAGACATGTTAGAAAAGTTACATTTACTTATAGCCAATTCTGATCTTTCTTGATTAATTTCAATTGGATTGCATGGTATTCTTATTCTATTATGATTTATAAAACTTTAAAAAAGTTAGAATATATTACTAAACGGTTCCTTACAATTTACATTACACAAACTAAAACTTAAAAAATAATATCATTGCATACACTAAGTTATTTTAGAAAATATTCAAAAAATCCGCCATTGTTTTGAGTTGCATCTTTTTAAAACTAAATTACTACCTATTCTCATAGAAGGACCGGTCGACTTAATTAAACTTCTCTCGTACCACCATTTCGAGTGCCTCTCTTAATTCACAAGTTCTTTTGTAAACCTTATTGTTAACCATACCACATAAAAAAAAATCTAAAATGGATAGGTCAGGTGATTGAGGAGGCCTATACAATTGGTCCACCTCTTTCTATTCCTGAGTTTGCATAATTATGATATAAATAATTTTTAACATTTCTTTCATTATGAGGGGGGGATCGTAATAAAAGTCATGTTGGAACCACTCTAATGATGCAGGAGTATCTACACGCTTTTCTTCATTTGAAAAATTCATATTTACAATTTTTGTTTATTTTAATTTACAAAGCTTGGATGTGACAGCTTCACATTTCTGAGAGCAAAGACGATTAAACTTGTTTCCATGGCTAACTAAGTGAAACTGTTTAAAAATTATAAGAATTGGCTATAACTCTGTAATTTTTCGAAGAAAACATATTATAGCTTATATCGCTGAAAAGCTTAAAAATGGCGCGCTTTTATGAAGTCATGGCCAACTATGGTTTCCATTTAAAAAAACATATGTTTGTGTCATATGTCAAAAATGACAGGCTTTAAAAAGAAAACGGGGGCATAGTCTCATAAAGGATGTGATTATCTACAACATTTATCTGAAATTTTTTGTTTAAAATAGCTTATAATGGAGTTAGGGACAATTTTAAAATAGCCGAAATTTGTTTTTTGAAATATCTAGTAAGCCTTGAATTTTTCAAAATCTGAAAGGCGCATTTTTATGACCCCACAAACTGAATTGTTTCCCCATTTAACCGACTCTCTATCTCCAGTAGTTTCCGAGATACCCATAGAGAGCATCGTAGGAAACTCACCCTGTATAAAATCCTTAAGTGACTGACATACTGATTAATCACGATCCTGCTCAAACCACTCAACGTAAGAAGTTCATTGGCATACAGGTTGATTCTAGGGATTTTTCGAAATTCCAGTTCCAAGAGGGTGAAAACACCCCTCAAATTTATTACAATATTTTTTATTTAAAAAACGGTAAAGTTTCCGAAAAAACGCTTAAACGCGTATATTTTATTTTGTTTTTTTACATATTTTAAGATTTTTTAAAAATGTATACAGGGTGTTTTGAAAAATCGGGTCATTGATTAATCACGATCCTGCTTAAAGCACTTGATGTAAAAAACTGATTTTTGGAAAACAGACTGACTTTAGGGTGTAGAGGTTCGATAAGAAGGGATTTTTCGAAACTCGAATTCTAAGGGGGTGAAAGTATCCCTCAAATATTAAAATCTTTTTTTAAACTGGTGAGTTTTTCGGAAAAACTCCTAAACACGTATATTTTATTTTGATGTTTTACATATTTTAAGATTTTTTATAAATTTATACAGGGTGTTTCATAAAATATGACCATTGAGTAATCACGATTCTGCTTAAACTGCTTGACGTTTAAAGCTGATTTTTGGCAAACGGATTGACTTTGGGGTGTAGAGCTTCGATAAGGAGGGGTTTCTCGATCTCAAATTCCAAGAGGGTGAAAACACCCCTCATATATTACAATATCTGTTATTTAAAAACGGTTAGTCTTTCGGGATAACGCTTGGACAAGCATAATTTATTTGTTTTTTTTACATATTTTTAAATTTTTTAAAAAATCATACAGGGTGTTTCAAAAAGTTGGGTAATTTCTTAACCACGATTCTGCTTAAACTGCTTGACGTAAAAAGCTTATTTGTGGCAAATGGATTTTTCGAAAGTCAAATCAAAATCAAAAAAAATAATATCGCCATATTGTTTTTTCTCATGCTGACATAAACGTGAGAAAATTTTATCCAGTTTGTATGTTAATGGAAATTCTTGCTTTGCTTTATCATCACCATTACAAATGATTAATTCGACGCGAACGAAGTCGCTGGTACACGCTAATTGATTAATAAAGGAATATAAATATCCAACTACGCCTTCCTGATCTCGTTTGTCTGATTCTTTATCTAGTGATATTCTCTATTGTTACTTTTCAGTTACCCTGTATATACATGATACTAGATAAAATCATAGATTTTTGTTTGAAGTATAAACAGATATTGTTTCGAAAACCGAATAAAATATATGAAGTTCTTTAAGGTACAAGATGGCAATATAAAAATATCCAATTTTATACTAAAAAAAGTTTTTTGCACAAACTATTTATTAGACAACCAATCGAGTTTGTTAGATTTAGAATATTCGCTAGGGTTCAGAATCGGGAAATCTCGGTCTCGAAATTACAGGGAATATCCGGTTCTTTTGAGCCATCCAAGAAAAGGTACTCGGCACTCAAATTCCCTGTACTTTCGGGACTCAGTAACAATGATTAATTTTGTCTTTGAATTCTTTTTAGCGGTCCAAATCAAACTCTTCTTCTTCTTCTTCTTCTTCCTTCTTCATACTAGACGAATCGCCTGTTTGGTTTCGTCGTCTCTACCGGTTAGACTGACAAGTTGTCGCTCCATCGTTTTCGTGGACGTCCTAAGCTTCTGCGACCTAGCGGTGATTTGTCGCGTGCAACTCTCACTATCCTTCTGTTGTCCATTCTGCTAATATGCTCGTTCATTCTTCCTTTCTGCTGAGTGCCCACTCATTTACATTTTCCACCTTGCACGCTCTTCTTATGCTTTCATTTCTCTTCCTGTCCAGAAGCGTCTTTCCAGCTATTCTGCGTAGTACTCTCATTTCGGTTGTTTCTAGTAGTTGTTTAGTTTTCGCTGTATCAGGTCGAGTTTCTGCAGTGTATGTCATTATTGGTCGTAGCGTTGCCTTGTAAATTCTCGCTTTAGTCTCCACCTCAATGTTTTTATTTCGCCATATTGTATCATTTAGGCATCCTGCTATTCTGGTTACCTTCGTTGTCCGTTCTCGCACCTCCGCTTCTACATCACCATATCCTGAGATTTCTATGCCTAGATACTTAAACTTCATCTCTTGCTGAATAACATTGCCCTCGACTTCCAGTTTGCATCTTAGTGGTACTTTTAATGTCGTCATGCATTTAGTTTTCTGAGTCGATATTATCATAATAAGTGATTTGGCAGTGCAATTAAATGATGTAATAAGCGCTGTAGATCGTTCTCATTTTCAGCTACCAATACGGCGTCGTCGGCATAGCATAGAATAGTAATTTCCTGGTCGCCCATACTGGATCCCTTCAGTAAACGTACATTTCCTATTATTTCGTCCATAATGATGTTGAAAAGAAGAGGGCTCAGGGAGTCACCTTGTCGGATACCACAGCCTACATTTATTGGTTCGGTCAGGACCCCGTTAATTTTAGCTTGAACTTGGTTCGCTTCATATATGTTTTGTATGGTTTTAACGAGGTTGTGTGGGATTTGCCTATTGTAAAGAAGGTGTACAACGTCTCTTAGCTGCACACCGTCGAACGCTTTTTCTAAATCAATAAAACACATATACGCTGGTTTGTTATATTCGATTGATTTTTCTGTTATCTGTCTTATGTCAAAAACCGCGTCTGTGCATGATCTGCCCGATCTGAAACCTTACTGTTCATCTGCTAAGCATGTTAAGTCGTTTATTTTGGTTGTTATCACTTTTGTCGTAAGTTTTAGTGTGGTGCTTAGAAGATTTATGCCTCTATAGTTTGAGGGCAGCTTCTTATCTCCTCTTTAAAACATCAAGATAGTGGTGCTGGTTCGCCATTCATCGGGTATCCTGTGTTGACCGGCTTGGGATTGACAAGACGGCTTGGGATTGACAATTGATAATAATTTTGGCTAGGTCAAGCTCTAGACATCTGCCAGTTAGCTTTAAGAAGATTCTAATTAATTTTTACGTTGAGTAAAAACGATTTTTAAATGGTGTAGTTTAAAATTCGAGAAACAATAATTTCCTGAAATAGTCTGGTCAAATTGTATTTTTTTTAGGAAAGTTTTGGGGTAGTTCTGATTTATTTCGTTCTTTATGTTTTTTTGGGGCGCTGACTCCGAATCTGATGTTTGCTAACAAAATTTGGTGACGGAACATTGAAGAAAATGCAAAAAAACGCCAATATATATTCGATTTTTTCACTGAAGATGGAATGTACAGGGTGGACCATTTTGGTTGTTTCTATAGGGTATCTAGGAAACCGTGAGAAATATTCAAATTTTGATACTGCAGTCGGGTTCCTTTTTTGAAAAGATTACAATGGCGCAAACGGATCGTGGCTATCTTGATCGGTTTCGAAACTACAGGGAGATTCTCAAATTTTGTACTTTTTGAAGATGTTCGATAGTTTGTTTATTTCAGCAACCACGAAAAAATGAATAATACATTCTAAAGGCACTTTTCTATGTAGAATGCAGTGGCGTAGTCAGACTTTTTTCGAAAAAAATATTTTTCGAGATATTAACTATATTTATGTTTTTTAAATAGAACCCCCTGTGTATTTTTAAATTTTCTTATTCAGCTCGGCATGGGCTTTTCAAAAATGTATAATACTCTATATTTATTTTCACTATTAACTTCAACATTTCATATTTTTCTTAACCAAACCAAAAACATTTTAAAATGAATAGATCCATTTCAAAAGACAATCATTTTATGCAGTTAACTGGAAAGGAAGCATTTTGAGCATTTGATTTCATCTAGCTAATTTTTGTCACATAATTATAGGTTTATATCTAGTTTTAATTGGGTAATAATTACTTTACTTACTTGTAATATTACTTAATTATTATTACCGTTGGGTATTTTACTCTACAATCTTTAATTTTTGTTAAATTAACAAAAGGTATATCACAGCCACCCTAGATTTTTTCAAATAATAAAGATCTACTGACAAAATCATAAAAATTAAAATATCTAGTAAAATCTTGGTCTGAGGGGTAAGCAACCTTAATACTATTTTGAAGATATATAAATTCCCCATTGAACACCGGAATGATATATTGGATGTTCCATTTAAAATAAAGGAGTAACTTGCTTTTAAAAGTGACTAATGTTCCATATTAATTTTTTCTCGCCCTGTATAACTTTTTGAGTCCAATTTCAATTTCGTTTAACGTACAATGGTTACTGTAATTAAATATTAGGCTATACAAGGTCAACTAAAATTTAGGTAGCTGTTATCGAAATTTAAAATTTACTCTTCATTTTCGCAAAATTTGAAATATGTCAAAATCTTTAGATTTTAGGTATATGCTTCTTTAATAAAACTCATCTTTATTTTTTTCCTAGAATCCAAAAATCAATTAATATATAGGGTGTTCCATTAGAAAAAACACAACTTTGATGTGTAACTTTTTTTGGGGACACCCTGTATAATTCTATATATTTTTATAAAATGCTTTCAGTTACCCTACATATGCTGCCAAAAATTTCATTTTGATATAAATTATCGTTCTCCTTGGAGCTTCCGCGGCGTATGAGAAGCACCACCCTGTATATAAATTCCTTATTCAAACATTGTTCCTTATTTTATTGTTAAAAATTGTACCTAATTGCCGGGTTCCGAAAAACAGTTCCAGTTCCGGAAACCCTATTATTCACCCTTCACTATCTCATACACGTGCAAACAGTTAGAGCACCAGTCTCGATATTTTTTTATAAACGCAGCTACAGTGTAGCTCAGAATCCAACTTATAACACAAGATAAGAGTTTCATGTAAATTGATCACAAGTCGACTGACTGTCTGATGAATCGATTGTGGTTTAATGGAACTGAACATCTGTTTGTGTTATCACAAGAAATAATGTTTGCTTTTTTTTAATAATCAATCTGTGCGACCCAAATAACTTCGCAAAATGACATTAAATGTAGTATAATATGACATAAAAATCAGTATATTAATGAAGATGGAAATTCCAAGTTACTGTATCAAGAAATCTGCGATCAAGATCATTTATTAGTTCAAATCGACTGCATTCATATATGTACCAAAGCAGATGCTGTTGTTTCTTTAGAATATCTATTTACATGAGTGTAAACAATTGATAACCTTTCAGGTTCCTTATTCATCTATTTTATATACAAATAATGTGGCGTCTTGTGTTGATGTGCTGTGTTATTATGGTGAATATCGGAAATAGTGTCTCGTTTTTGAAGAACAAAAGGCAAACCAACGTAACGCTTGAAAATAATATTTTAGAAATATTTAATAATTGTTTTTGCGTTTATCATTATCAATGTGATAATGATGGGGTTATCATTACCAATGGTGAGCGGTTGTTCGAAGAAAGGTATAAATACAAATGAAGGGCACAGGCAAAGAAAGCGATAAGTAAAAAATTCGAGTTTTGAAAAAAATGAGAGGTTTTTAAGAACTTTGGATAACTTTGGATACACATGGATTCGTTTATCTGTTAGCTTGTCTACAAAAACATGAAAAAATGTAGTGAATTACTTGATTTACTTTCACAACGAAGGATCGCAATGAGCGAGGCGATTTTTTTTGTAGTTCCGCGCAGACATATCTCGTTTTAGCCTGTATAGCAAATATAAAACAGTTGATATCTCGTAATTAATCTCTTATTTAGCCAAAATAATGTCTGAAGGCATAGTATACACCTTTACTCTGCAGATGGCCTGATTAACTCAATTTCAGTAAATATTTTCTTATCGCTTTCTTTGCCTTTAGGTTTCAAATATTTTTAGTCTATATCTGTATGAAGATAGTTACCATAAAAATGTGTATGCCATGATTTCAAAAGCATATCAATATTATTTCTTGTTATTTCTTGTAGGAAACACAGTTATTTTTTTTCATTCTTGTGATAAATTAGGCGTCAAGTTGCAAAACCCTCCTTATCCATTTAAAAAAAATGGCCTAGGCCTAATGACATATTCTAACTAAGTCCTAAACTGCAGAAAAATTGCCTATTCTATAAAATTCACTACTAATTACGTTACTGCAGCAAAATTCGTCTTATCCTCTTATGTATATTTGCTTTTTTATTGTCATTATTGTTCATAGTCTCACGATTTTTTCATAGTCTTTTTACACAAGTATAATATTACTAATGATGTCTTATCCATTTCAAATCCTTACCTAATTTTACTAAAATAGCATACTTACCTAATAAATCAAGTTAGGTTGCAAATATCTATCTGTATTGAACTAAATTTTCTCGAAAATAAAGATATAATTTAAAATTCCGTTACAATAGCTGGTGTGATTACGGAAGTTTTGTGATTACAGTGATATATAATTTTATGGCAAATGCTGAAGCTCTGCAAACCTTAATCAAGCCTTAATCAAAGCACGTGTGTTTGCAATTTTGAGAAACAACGTTTTTGGGATAAGACGGGTTAGGTTTAGTCTCTTATATTTTAGTTATTTACTACCAAAATCTAAAATCGTATAATGCAGGCAGTGGCGTAGCAAGGCGGGGGCGGACCGCCCCGGGCGGCGACTCTCCAAGTACCGGCGGGGCGCCAAAAAATTGTTATAAAGGCGGTGGACGGATTCTGTAGTGGTGGCAAACCTCTCTCCTAGAGGCTCTCCACCCCGGACGCCCCTAACCCACACTACGCCACTGAATGCAGGTGTATACTGATTAAACTATCGAGTTGGAGATGTAGCTACTGATGGCTATTTCCTTATTTTTAGAATATGGAAGCTGAAATTTTAGGAGTTTCATAAGATTTTCATTTCCATTTTGAAATGTATAACGTCTTTTATCTTATAAGATGTTTTCATGTCTATAATGTAATGAAAGAAAATAAATGTATCGCAACTATGTGAACATTTCCCTGAATCCAATTAGCATAAATCTCTGGGTATTTTTGCTCTTATTAAGATATATTTATGGCTACTATTAGTTGAACTTGTGTGGCTCATTTACATTTACTGTTATAGCGAATGATACTGAATATCTAAACTTTTAGCATATAAAAATATATGAAAAAATGTACATTTTGCCTGAAAACTATATTTTTACCAGTAAATAGAGTGACAGGTACAAAAAACGGATACTTGAAAATTTTCATGTATTTTAAATTCAGTAGGTATATTTTGTTCTGGTGTTCAGAATTTGATGATTTTTTAAGCAATATATTGCTAAATTGTTTGAACCCTTTCCTTAAGTCCTTTTCTTATAGCCTCTTTCTAAATTAAAAATTAAAGTACTCATCTGTCTATTATGCGAGGGAAAACAAAATGTTAAGCCAAGGACAAAACCTGGGCCCGAATTCTGAAAGTTCGCCATAAAAACGTTACGCTTTCAAAGCGGCAAGCGAAAGTATTCGATTAGCGGAACGGCAAGCTAGTTGCGGAACGGCGGCTATCCTAGTTGCCATACGAATCGTTTTCTGGATACGCGTTGAGCACATATTGGCTCAACGCGTATATAAGAGCATCGCAATTTCTCATAGTCAAATGTGAATAAAACCTAGATCATATATACTTACGTGGATAAGCAAATCACTATGGAAACTGTCCCAAGCATATCAACGACTTCCATATATCTTCTTTTTTTGTTGCACACGCGGTGCTTCTACTCTATCTATCCTTGTCGAGGACCTATCGCCCACGCGTCAAATTTGAACATTAATTTTAAAAATTTAATTTGTAAAATGCATATATTTGAACAATAATTGAATGTTACTGTCACAAAAATTAATATATATTAAAAATAAATTAGCCATTCCGTACGAATACCAATATTCTTAGGAAACCTAACCAGAAAGTATGATTGTGGTTTAATATACATAAATGAACAACTGAATACTTTACTTGCCTGTGAAAAGATAATTCGGGGACATTTATATTATAATTTCCACACACCAAACACTTTCTTGTCATTTTTACGAGTATTTACCCAAAAATTAAAACCCAACGAATAAAAAATAGCAATATAATTGCACAAACTTAAAATTAACTTCTCACTGAACACACTTGCATCCTTGGCTATATAAAAGCGGTCGATAAAAGAGTAATTAATACAATGTTTAAAATAAAAAACGCAAAAAACAAGTGTCGTTACATAATGGAAATATCATTATGACATATGATTATGACAAGATTATGGCAATATGATGACAATGAAAAGTTGGTTTCCATAACAATAATTTGTACTTTCTAAACCAGTCTAAACCGGATAAAATTGTAATTATTTTGGAAATACGTGCCACTTTTAATGCGCATGCGTAAAGTCAGGTCCTCGAGAAAGACAAACCCATTGAACGTTTCATAAGTGCAATAAAGAAGATTTGAAAATGGCATGTCGTGATGTTGGGGACATATTTTTTAATGCTAAACTTATGGCGTTGATTTATCCACGTAAGTATATATGATCTAGGGAATAAAACAATGAAAAATGTCAATGTTACGTGAATTTCATAACCTATTGTTTAGTTATGTCAACCTATTTTCCTATGAATATGCCATTATTCTTATTATACAAGGGAAATGTTGAAGACGCTTCTTAGCATTTTCGATGTTTTGAACAATATTTATAGCTGCCAAATCGTAAATTATCCATTACTTAAGAAATTTATAGAAGAAGAAGTAATTTTTGACTAAAGAGCAAGAGAACACAAAGTCGCAATTTTTTCTATTTTTACTCACAGTTTGATAAGCAAAACGATCCTTTAATGTTTCGAATCGCTTAGCAGTAAGCTTTTTAATCAGTAAAGACGCTAAGCGCGTCAGATGACAATACCCAAATCGGTTAGTTAAGTGCGCGCTAAGCGAAAATTAACATCACATACGCTGAGCGTATAAAAGAGCTTATCGTTTTCTAAGTTTCCTAACCTAACCTCAGTTAACATTTCCCCCGTTCGCACTCTTGCATTTTTACCGATACGTCCACACTGCAACGATTCCAATCATTCACGTCTCACATTTCTATCTATTCTATTCACTTTTATCGCCAGAAGATGGAAAGCGTTCATTAGCGCTGAAACCATTATTGTTGACGTATATTCGCTGAACGTCCATACCTCAGAAACGTTTCTTGGCGAATGCAAACGAATGCGAACGAATGGTAAATTGGTGAACGTTTAACACACCCTCATTAATTGGTTTATTAAAGTAAAGAATTTAGTAGATAACACTTTATCTTATACACAACGCTTTACTTTGAATTCTGGATACTGTAACAATATTAGCATCAAGAGCAAATGAATATGGTTAGCAAAACTCTCGCCCATTCTTCAAAATAAAGTCAAGTAAGCTCATTAGTGGCCTTTTTCCGTGACACGGTAGATAAGGCCCCACGCTCATTATGCTGATGCGTAAATTTCATTCGTTCATGAGTCCGTGTATGCATAATGAGTATGATGCGGTACGTCGATGCGGTTCGTCGATGCGATTTGATAGTTCGTTTGGAAAATTGTGTGTATGTATAATTCTCAGAAGAAACGACATACCGCAGAATCGAGACATTGACGAACCGCATCGGCATATAAAATATCGTGTTTAAAGGATGATTTTTGTTTACATTATAATATATTTCAGAGTTGGTAATGAATTTATTAGATGTCATGGAGGAAAATTTGAGGGAGAAATACTATGCTGTCGCCTGAACTCCACCGAAGATACAAGGGAACCAAGAAATCCAGACCAAAATATAACAACTGAAGCTCCACATAAAAAGGTATTTGTTAGATTTATTAGCAATCTTAAATTTTTGTTGCAAACTGAACCTAAACTGTATTAGTATTTAACTGCATATAATCAATACTGTATTACCTGTTACATAGATACATCAAATTATATCATTAAATTCATTTTAACTAAGTGCTCATATTAATATTTATGGGGGTGATTTTTGGGCCTATTCTAAGAAAAAAACTTCATATGAATGTATGTCCCAACCATCCTAACTTTTGAGATACAAAGTGATAAAATATTGTTTTTTTAACTTCCTTTTACTAAAAACTAGCACATCAAAACCTTCACATGGTCTAGTTGCTTTTAAAATTGTCTAAAATTCAACCTTAGTTTCGCCTATGATGCATACATTTTTAATGATTGAAAATTTTACTGTTCAACTGAAATTGATCAATTTAAATCGAAAACATTTTTAACATGTATTCATTTTTATTTAATTTATCTACTGTATACAATCTCAAGATGAAAAAGATAAATATAGAAAAATAAATACAGAGATTAAACACAGTTGCACCATCGACAAGAACAACTACTATGAAAAAATATGCCAGGAAATAGAATCTCACGCTTTCACAAATCAACCAGGGGACCCATTTAAAAAGATAAAGTACCTCACAAGAGAATTCAAGCCAAAAACTTGGGCAATAGAAGACGATCGAGGACAACTTAAAACCGAAATTACCAAAATAGTGGAACGATGGCAAACATACTGCGGAACACTTTATAAAGAAAAAGATCCTCAGCCTAGCTGCTCTTTCCACAGTGATATAATTAATAAAGAACCAGACATACTGAAATCGGAAATTGAAGCAGCAATAAAAAACCTAAAACGTCATAAAGCCCCGGGACCAGATCACATCACGGCCGAAATGCTCCAAGCGTCGGGAGATTTTGGTGTGGACATCTTGCACAAGTTATGTTATATGATATGGCATACTCACCAATAGCCATCAGATTGGACCGATTGTTCAATTCGATTGTTCACAAAAAAGGATCTCCAGCCAAATGCGACAACTTTCGTACCATTGCGCTAATTTCACATGCCAGTAAGATTCTTCTTCATATCATTAACGAAAGGTTAAAACCGTATATTCAACCACAAATCCCTCCAGAGCAAGCAGGATTCGCAAGAGGTCGAGGAACACGTGAACAAATTTTGAATGTCCGTCAGATTATCGAAAAGGCCCGAGAATTTAACAATCCGCTCTATTTTTGTTTCATAGACTATCGAAAAGCTTTTGACAAAGTCAAATGGTCAAAACTATGTATGGTTTTTAAAGAAATGGGCGTGCCTCTTCATTTGATTTCATTGATCCAGAATCTCTATGTAAATACCAAAAGTAGAATTACCATCAATGGCGTTACTTCGGAAGACTTCCAGCCTACCTGTGGGGTTAGGCAGGGGTGCATACTATCTCCTCAGTTATTCAATATATATACTGAATATATCATGAGAAGGGCATTGGAACATTGGCAAGGGGGGATAACAATTAATGGTCACAAAATTACCAACCTCAGATTTGCAGACGATACGGTCCTTCTAGCGGGAAACGAGGAAGAGTTACTGCAGCTTCTAAAATTGGTTTAAGGAAATTAATCCCTCCAAACAAAAAAATATATATATATATATATATATATATATATATATATATATATATATATATATATATATATATATATATATATATATATATATATATATATATATATATATATATATATATTACTATATATATATATATATATATATATATATATATATATATATATATATATATATATATATATATATATATAAATTATTTTTGTTTTGGAGGATTAATTTCAAGTCAAAGTTTCTCTCTCATATATATATATATATATATATATATATATATATATATATATATATATATATATATATATATATATATATATATATATATATATATATATATAAACAAGGAAGTTATCGTGGAAACTATAAAAAAACGAAGAAAGAAATTTATTGGGCAAGTCCACAGAAAGATTTCTATGGAAATAAATCTTTCTGTGGACTTGCCCAATAAATTTCTTTCTTCGTTTTTTTATAGTTTCCACGATAACTTCCTTGTTTATTGTTTTCTCTGGGCCAGGGTGATAGCGGCGAGGTGTGTAGGAACGCCTCCGCGGCGGTTTCGGTAGTAACGCTTCAAATTGTAAGCTACTGCCGGACCAGCTACAAATGGCGCCTTTGTGCCTCGTTTGCTTCTCCTTTTCTTTCTCTTTTTTCAGGATCGCTAGTTCATCGTTGCTGATTCCTCCCGTATTGATGAAGCCGGAAGGCAGAAACACTGAGTGTCTACGGGTAGTCATGTTTTAGTCATGTATCATGACTAATCTTTCTGTGGACTTGCCCAATATATATAAATATATATATATATATATATATATATATATATATATATATATATATATATATATATATATATATATATATATATATATATATATATATATATATATATATATATATATATATATATATATATATATATATATATATATATATATATATATCTGGGTTACTTATAAACAACACGGGATCGTTAGAAGGGGAAATTAGAAGGGGAAATAAGAAGGTGTGAAATGACAAGAGTGGCAGTGCGAAAACTCTCAAAGATATGGCGAGACAAAAACATATCTAAACACTTAAAAAAAAGGCTTGTTCACTGCCTAATATTTCCTATATAATGTATGGCCAAACCGAGTCCTGGACGACGAGACAGTCAGAAATGAAAAAAATTGACGCAACTGAGATGTACTGTAGGCGATGAATGCTCAGAATTCCCTGGACTGCCCGGCGAACCAATGAATCCATAATCCAAGAACTGAACATCACAGAACGCCTCTCAACTTCTATACAGTCACATATACTTAAATATTTCGGTCACGTTATGAGGAGGGATACTGACTGTATGGAAAAACTCATTATACAGGGCAAGGTTCCGGGAAGAAGACCAAGAGGCCTCTCGCCCTCCCGATGGATAGACCAGTTATCAAAGAGAACCCACAAGCCACTGCACACGCTTGTACATGAAGCACAAGACAAGGAATTATGGAGACAAACCTCACACGTCACCTGACCACTACATTCCTCTTGTAGGAATAAAGACAGAGAGAGAGAGAGACTGTATACAAAAATCCACCAAAATAGACTCGTGAGAACGCGCCTCCTTTAAAATTTTCAGCATATATACACCTATACTTTAATATATTTAACTGATTTTATATTAATACTGTAGATCTTCCCCTAGGAGATGCAAGACCTTGTCATTGGTGGGGAAGCTCCTTGTCAGGTGCTGGAGGAATCTCCTCTAGCGCTTTGGCTCGGTCTAAGAAGCATCTCATTGTCTTGTCCCTGGCTGTAGTGTCGTGGCCAGAGAATTGCACCAAGACATATAACGATGCCGGACGGGGCTACACCTATCCGTCATACTAGGCACCCTCTCCTGACTGTGGTCATGTCTTGCGGGTAGAGGGTGTAGGGGATCTAGGCTTAACCGCCTGGACCAAGAGGAGACAACCTCACCAAAAACATAAATCCTACGATGGCGGAACCAAGTCAAAGGTATGCGTGGCTAGATAGAGGACTAGCCATTACTGGCCTCAACCTTGGGGCATCAGGGGGCACCCCATTGTATTTACCCCTTACTTCTGCATGCGGGGCTTTGTAGAAGAGTGGACCGACTATCCCTAGGGGGAACACTATGAGATCTAGTATTAAAAACACCACCAAATGAAAGTTCCAAGGGACCAAATCCAAAGGAAACTATAGGCTGACACTTGCTTGGGATCATCCTCCACAAGTGGTACACAAGCTACCACTACCATTCTCCAGCAAGGGTCGGGAGCCTACCTCTAGATTCAATAAGCCACATAAGCTACCGTTTCGTCTACCCGGCCTGGGTCAACCAGGCGGGCTAGACGATCCTCTGAGAGTAGGTCTTAGCAGAGCACAAGCACGGAGATACCTCCGACTGCTCCACGAAGAACTCGCTCAAGAGGAAGCAAAAGCGAAAACACTCCTCCGAAAAGGGGAGAGTAAAAAAACCAAGAAACAACCAGACTCATCTCCATCAAAAGGCAAGAGAGGAAGCGACAACCTCTCATCTCTTCTCCGGCAGGGAGAGAAAAAAGCCAGGATGGAAAGCCGTCCAACACCGGGAGGCAAGCAGGGACGTATCACCAGCTTTGTCGCTATTGCTGGACAAGTGAAAATGGCAGTGCTGCCAAAGGACTTCCCAGAGGTTGCTCTGACTATCGACCAGCAAACGTCTCTAGAAGATGCTATACTGGACGAAGTACAAAATGTGGATCAGCAGTGTTTTGCGGGGATACACTTTCGGGTGGGCATGATCCTCATGGGTGGGCATGACAGATTGTGTATCTCAAGAATCGGCGAATTGGTTGGTGGAAATCGCACCTAAGCTTAAAAAATGGTAAGGGCCGGAACTGATTGCAGTGAAGGGAGAAAACATCTCTAAAGGGGCGGCCATAACGGTCTTTCTGCCGAGGAGCAAGGGGAAAGACACCACCTACCTCCTGAGCCTTATCCAAGGTCAGAACTTCAATGTAAGGACATCGAGTTGGCGAGTTATCAACTCGAAGGAGGAGGGTCATGGTCAGGTCCTCACAATAGGAATTGACCTCAAATCCAAGGAGGCAATAGAGAAAGAGGGACATATCCTCTATTATATCCTCCAGCTTCCACCTCACGGGTTCCTCAGCCTGAGGCAAGCTCCTCGACTGTGAAGAGCGGCACGGAGGGCCAAACTCCAACCGTGGAAGGGTGTGTACCCTCGGAGGAAGAACTATTTTCAGAGGAGGATGGGAAATACCCTGTCCCCTCTACAACAGAGGTATGATGGGTTATAGATTGTGTGATGACTCAAGGAAGGAGGGGGAGGGGGCACAATAGATCTTTAAGGTCGCAGTGATTAACCCCTCTCTTACCTTATAGTCTGTCCAATGAGAGGATCCATGACAGTGATGTCATGGATCCGTAAGATGTAAATTGTATTTGCTGTCATTTTTTGGATGTTACCTATCGAAATCTTCCCCGACGCGTTAGATTAATTTCAGTGTGATTTATACAGGGTGTCCCAATATTCCGTGGACATAGAAGTACTACGTATTTTTTTAAATCAAAGTAAGATCATTAGACATAATTTACCTCAAAATACAAAAGTGCTTTATTTGTCCGTTAGAGGGCATCAAACTTATAAACAATTTTTTTATGATATTTTAAGAATCATTGTTCCGATTTGAATGAGATTTGTAACGCCTATGTTTTGCTAAATACTTTAACATGGAAACATATTTTGATTCCAAAAATGCGTAGTAGTTCTATGTCTACGAAATATTGGAACACCCTGTATATTATGTGTACTTTTTAGCCAAGACAACAACACTGTGGCAAACAGTTACCAGCCATCAATATCAGAGCCTTCTCTGGTCACGAGGCATCTTCAGTGAATGGAGAATTTCCTTGGTTAATTAATATCTTCAAAAAGAAACAAAACGACTGGAAATATCTATGTGTAGGAACACTAATCCATCCAAGAGTTGTTTTAACCGTTCATCACTACTTGATTAGGTAAGTATTTTAAATTACTTTAGTGAATATACGGGAAAGTCGCTTATACTATACTGTCTCCCAAATCGTACCTCTCCACTATTTGGTTTATAATTGCAATAGCGAGACACCTTGTGGTATATTTTGGATTTTTTTTTAGTTTTTAGTTAAAAAACATAATTTCTTGATAATATGGCAACATAGGTATTAGATTAAATTTACAGGAAAGAAAATCCAGAAAAGATCCAGTGGTTCTCAAAATTTTAGCAAAAAATATGTTTTTTGGGAAATTTTCAAAGTAAAATAACTCCGTTATTTTGGACTTATTTGAAAAACGATATAGAGAAAATATGTTTCTTTTATCGAGATCTACAACCCCTTAAAATACTTGCACTTATTTCTGGGACACTCTGTATAAGATGTGGAAGAGATTAAGCTAAATATTTCGCAATAATCCAAAATTTGGTAAAATTTTTAACTTTTCTGCAATACTTTGTATGGGTTTAGGATACTTATCCCTAATATATGTTGTTTTGTGTTATTAGTTCAAAAGCTGACGATTTAAGAGTAATTGCAAACAGCGAAATTCAAATGAGACAAGTTGGAGAAAATGAAGCATTTGAAAGAGGCGTTGAGGAAATTGTCAAAAATCCGAAATATTACTCCGGAGGACTTTACAATGATGTCGCTATCATTATTCTAAAGGAAAATTACGATATACTACATATCCAGTATGCAATCAACACGATTTGTCTCAAAATAGATTTACCATTCGAAAATCAAAACTGTATTGTTTTAGGCTGGGAAAAGTCTCCAGAAAGCAAGCGTAAGTATTTTCTGTTTAAATATTACTGTTCTGTTAATAGTTAATATCATATAATTTAGTAAATAATTCGAACTACTCCATCTTAATCTCTAAAACAACAAAGTGAAAGCCGTCATGTTGTTGAATAAGAAAATGTTTCGTTCCTAAAATAGCAATTCCTGCTTTTTGAATACATTAACTTGAAATATTTGACCCTAAACAACACGCAGAAACAATTTTTGTTTCGACTGCGAATAAACTATTCTCATTTTACTAAAAAAAAAAAAAAATCAAGAATTTTTTAAAACTTCTTTAATTTTAAGGCCCATTGGTATTTTTCAAAATAGAAACAATACATTTATCAATAAAGTTGTTTGCGTTTAACTTTTTTGCCTTGGGTAACGAGTTACAGAGTTGGTTAAAGTGTTTCAATAATTATGATCTTCAAACATCCTCCACACTTAAATACTTTTGTTTTGTTTTCCTTTACTGCCATCTGGCATATGTCTCTAACTAAATCATAAAAATAATATTTTTACTAAAATTATCCCAATTTAGGATAAAACGCGACTTAGACGCCATATTATTATAGTTTTGTATCTCTGTGAATTAGGATTTTAAACAACGTTGCAGTTTGTACTAAATTAGGTTGCTAGCCAAAGTCAGTATCCAACGTCGTTTTCACCCAAAAATTATTCTCCAAACTAGTGCAGACTAGGGTTGGCACGAGGTTGTGCCGACGTTGCGCCCCGACGTTTGGTCGCGTGACACAACGTTGTCCCGACGTCCAAATGCTGGTTGGGTGGACTGTTATATACTCATTTTTTTGGACTTTTTACACGTGTCGGTCACATGATGATATTATCCTTTTATTTTAATATAATAATAGCTCCCGTATATAGCGTTTAACGCCTTGGGAATAACGAGGTACAGCTTGCCATGCTAGAGCCGTTCGGTATACAAGGAAAGTAATGTGGCTAGCACTACGCTTCAACCGCCTATTTTAATAATCCTTTTATTTTTATTTAAGTAATATCCCCCACAATACGTTAGGCATTCGTATCCGCGACACGAGGAATCAATCAAAGACAGACATCAAATCTAAAAAAAAATATTATTAAAGGATCTACAAAAATTAACTTATTTTGTTCAAAACAAATTAAATTAAGCTAATAATCGTTTTATAAAAGTAAATGTATTAAAACTATTTACAATACCGAAATTTAAATACGATTTCATATTTTTCAATTTTAGTGCTAACTAAATTTGAAGTATCATTGTCTTGTTTACATTGTAAATAATTTATAACAATTCAGATAATTAGTTTATATCAGGTATATAAATTCAGCGCTTCAAACCCGTTACTAATGATGATCGCTAGTGCGTACAAGTGGTATCCTTTAATTTCGATAAAACCAACATAACGTAAGTACCTACAGTATGTTTTTTTATTTCATTCGGTTACATTAGAACACCAGTTTTAATACGAATACTAGTCACAATTAGCAATTCAAAGTACTCTTACAATAATAATTATTGATACAAAGAATAAATAAATCGAAGCATGTTTTCTATTTAATTGGTATAATTAATTTTACTTCTGAATAGATCATTACATAATATATGGACTTTATTTCCAGGTAACTATGAACTCGCTGATGCTAATTATCGTGATATTACTACCATTATGCTTTGGTGCGGATAACTACAGCTGGTATCCAACATTCCACTTTTCCCCACCGAAGGGTTGGATGAATGACCCCAACGGACTGAGCTATTACAACGGATATTACCAAGCTTTCTACCAATATAATCCCTACGACACTGAATCGGGTTGGATGCACTGGGGTCACGCTAGAAGTACCAACTTGTTAAAATGGGAACATCTACCTATTGCACTAACTCCATCGCTACCCGAAGATATAGATGGAATCTTCTCCGGATCCGCAGTCGTGAGTGACGGAAATTTAATACTTATGTATACAGGGGTGAGTGGAAACTCGACCCATCAAGCCCAGTGCCTTGCAAACAGTACCGATGGAATAAATTTTGATAAATTAGGTCTTGTTCTGAAGAAAAACGGCAGCGATTTAAATTTTAGAGATCCCAAGGTTTGGAAACAAGGAGATTCGTGGTTTGTGATCATTGGTTCTAAGACAGATGATGATAGGGGAGAAGTCCTCTTATACCAGTCGCTTGATCTTAAAAGTTGGGACTATCAAGGCGTGTTAGCTCAAGCAGACGAAACGCTAGGTTACATGTGGGAATGTCCTGATTTCTTCACGTTGGGAGATAAACAAATTCTATTGATAAATCCACAAGGTATGGAGCAAAACGGATACGATTACCAGAACTTGTATCAAACGGGCTACTTTGTTGGAACATGGCAACCTGGTGAACAATACATTATAGAGAAAGGTTTTAAAGAAATAGACCACGGTCATGATTTTTACGCTTCACAAACTTTCCTAGCTCCAGACGGACGACGGATTTTGATTGGCTGGTTAGATATGTGGGAATCTGTCTTTCCCGAACGTCAGGAAGGATGGGCTGGAATGCTCACTTTACCTCGTGAACTTACCTTATCATTAAATGGAACTATAGAAATAAGACCTATAAGAGAAGTTGAAGATTACCGAACTGAGGATGTAGTTTCAAACAACTCAGTAACTCTAAATGACGACTCAATATTTGTTTTAAAAGAACAAGTTACTTCAAACGAAATTATCATAGAACTGGATCCAGTTAAAAGTAACGCTTCTACGTATGGAGTCAGGCTTGGAGATGAGGATCAAGGAGTATTTGTATACGTCGATACAGAAAAACAACGTTTGTTTGTAGAAAGGAGTTATCCACAATTTAATATTAGTAGAAGCGATAGAAGCGTTGCAGTGGATTTGTCAAATCCAATTTATTTAGATATATTCGTGGATAGTTCTTCCATTGAAGTATTCGTAAACGATGGAGAATCGGTATTAAGTAGCAGAATATACCCAACAGAATTGCAAAGATCTCTTGCTGTGTTTCATTCTGAGGGATCTGTCACAGTGAACAAATATAGTATTTGGAATATATAAAGTGTCAGTGTATTTATTTTTAAATTATTAAAATCTCGTTTATTCAATTATACATTATTGCATTTACCGAAAATTATTATTACAAATGTCTGTTAGTAATAAACATATTTTTTTTAAAATTAACCACTTCAAATTGTAAACATTCCAAAATTGCTATATTCCGGTACATTACACAACGAATAAATATTATAAAAGATATTACTTGCTTTTATTATTATTCCCAGTATTTTAAAAAATTATTGAAGCTGAAATCGACGTTTTAGGATTAATGTTGAAGAAAATTGAATTGCCCGTTGTTGGGCGATCAAAATGTGAAGAATTACTAAGAAAAACAAGAGTTGGGGCTGACTTTACTTTACACGAATCGCACATTTGTGCTGGAGGAGAATTAGGAAAGGACGTCTGTACAGGTAAATATTATATTGAATTAAACGCCCAATACTCTCTAGAAAAAATTGCCAGAAAATTCACTTCATTATTTAACAGGACATCACTATGTAATAGAAAAAAATGTTTTAGACTTTTTTTACTTTCTGTAAAAAATATTCTGGTTATTGAGGCCACTGTAAGAAAATCTATAAAATATAACAGATATTTTTACTAATAAAACAAATTTGCCTAACGGATAAAAAATGCTTAACCTTTCAGGACGTATATAATCTCCCGTCTTTGGAAGCAAAAAAACATAAAGAACGAAGGAAAAAATATTTAAAATATCTAAATCTATACTAATATACAGGTTGTTAAATTGTTTATTACTCGCGGCAAGAGCTTTATGGTTGAAATATGGCAACCTCGGCCGCTCGAGAGACGTCGGCGTCGCGATCGATGGGACTAGTCGGCAGTACTCATTTGGAATTGGATGGGTGAGGAGCGTCAGATTTTTTAAAAATATTACGCGAACGTCGAGAGTGAATTATTGAAATAATTTGCCCAAGCAAATTTTACATCTGCGGATTTTCTCAAAAACAGTAGCTCAGGATGTCAATACAAATCTGTCATTTGGCGATTTTTTTTTGTTTAAAGTCCTGAATCACTTATTGAAATTTATGAAAAAATACGTAGAGTAAAACCCGCATAGCACGATAATCCCAAAATTTTATGCCGTGTAATGTATTATGAAAATAAAAGCGTTATTCTAAAAAAATAAACTATAAAATCCAATAAATAAAAACAGAAAAATCAAGAATTAATTCAATAAAAAATTCACACAAAGAGTCACACAGGAAAATTATTCGACAAAAACTCTTTTACTCTAACCGCATTATGAGCGGGACAACCGTCTTGTTGAAACCATACTGTTTCCAGGTCAAGATCAGGAAAGTTTTGAACGGCGGGAAAAACTTGGTTCTGAAGTAGCTCAAGATATTTGTCAGCATTCAGGGTACCATCAAAAAAAAATGGGCCTATTAAATGGTCACCTAAAATACCTTCCCAAACATTGAGTTTTTGAGGGTACTGGGTGCGATATTCAAAACTTCGGTGTTCGTTTTTCTGAGACCAATAGCGGACAATAGAAGGATTGTGTTTTCCTTGCAATGGAAAGGAAGACTCATCAGTAAAGAGAATATTTTTCACAAAATTATCATCCTGATTAGCCTTTTCCATTACAGTTTAACAAAATTCCATTCTCCGCAGATGGTCATCAGGAAATAACTCCTGAGTTTTAGAATATTTGTAGCATTTGTAGCCACATTTTTTCCAAATTGTTGTAACTGTTACGTTAGAAACACCCAGTTCCTTGCCAGCACTTCTACTGGATCGTGTACTATCCAATTCCAGAGTACCACAAACCATTTCGCCCCGCCGTTCTTTTTCCTGAACTATCTCAACAGGCGGTTCTTGCTTAAGGTGGCATTTTTTGCAGTCGTTGAGGCAAAAACATTCTTCGAAACTCGAAACAATGTTTAGGATCGTTTTCGCACACGGAATGGGCCTATCCTCAAAGACTACTGCAAAAAGATCCCTACACTGTATTGCTGAGTTACCACCGTAATACCACTTAATCAACTGAACTCTTTCGGGAGGTGTATAAACCGCCATGTTTAGCGAAAAAACAAGTAAACAACGCTTTACTCTCAGTACTACAGTCACACAGCGAATAGTGAATTTAAATAAAAATTGCCGGCGTTCTCAAGGACAGGGAGTAGGCAGTGTTGCCATTCTGTTCCCCAATAAGTAATCGTACACTTAACAACCCATATAAAATCCTTAAGTGACTGACATACTGATTAATCACGATCCTGCTCAAACCACTCAACGTAAGAAGCTCAATTTTGGCATACAGGTTGATTCTAGGGTGTAGAGGTTCCATAAGAAGGGATTTTTCGAAATTTCAATTCCAAGAGGGTGGAACCACCCCTCAAATATTACAATATTTTTTATTTAAAAAACGGTCAAGTTTCCGAAAAAACGCTTAAACACGTATATTTTATTTTGTTTTTTACATATTTTAAGATTTTTAAAAAATGTATACAGGGTGTTTCGAAAAATCTGGTCATTGATTAATCACGATCCTGCTTAAAGCGCTTGACGTAAAAAGCTGATTTTTGGAAAACAGATTGACTTTAGGGTGTAGAGGTTCGATAAGAAGGGATTTTTCGAAACTCGAATTCTAAGGGGGTGAAGCTATCCCCCAAATATTAAAATATTCTTTTATTTAAAAACCGCTGAGTTTTTCGGAAAAACTCTTAAACACGTATATTTTATTTGGTTGTTTTACATATCTTAAGATTTTTTATAAATTTATACAGGGTGTTTCATAAAATATGGCCATTTAGTAATCACGATTCTGCTTAAACTGCTTGACGTTTAAAGCTGATTTTTGGCAAACGGATTGACTGTGGGGTGTAGAGGTTCAATAAGGAGGGGTCTCTCGAATCTCAAATTCCAGGAGTGTGAAAACGCCCCTCAAATATTACAATATTTGTTATTTAAAAAACGGTTAGTCTTTCGGGAAAACGCTTGGACAAGCATAATTTATTTGTTTTTTTTACGTATTTTGAAATTTTTTAAAAAATCGTACAGGGTGTTTCAAAAAGTTGGGTAATTTCTTAACCACGATTCTGCTTAAACTGCTTGACGTAAAAAGCTTATTTTTGGCAAACGGATTTTTCGGAAGTCAAATTCCAACGAGATGAAACTACACCTCAAATATTACCAAGTTATATAATAATATCGCCATATTGTTTTTTCTCATGCTGACATAAATGTGAGAAAATTTTATCCAGTTTATATGTTAATGGAAATTCTTGCTTTGCTTTATCATCACCATTACAAATGATTAATTCGACGCGAAATAAGTCGCTGGTACACGCATAGTAAACTATACAAAATTAACAATTATTTCAACCAGATAACAATTAAAACCTTAAAGCCTCAAAGCAAATTTGTTTAATGGTAAAATGCCGCTGTCAAAGAGGTCTCCTGAGGATCAACGCAGGGGTGTTTACAAAAACATCTTTTTTTGTAGATTTTCTTATAGTGGCGTGATATTTTTTTTTGAAAAAAAACTTTCTTGAAAAAGAATGAGTCACAAAGGTAGAGACATTTTTTATTGAATATATTTAAAACAAATAGTAATCAACTATTATATTGCTCTTGATATATTTTTGTTTACATGAATATTTGCAATAATGTACAATCTCTAGAAGATGAAACACAACACTTCAAAAATCTAAACATACTTTCTATATTATGTAAAATGCTATTAGATATAGACTACAGAGATTGTAAAAATTTAACTGACTTAAAATTGGTTAATTATCTTCCGTATATAAGTGTTATAATGTTGATAAGATAAGTTTGTTTAGAAATAAAACTATTACTGAAAAAATTTCCTCCTCAAAAAGTTTTATATGTTGTGTTCTAGTGGACCGATTTTGATGATCTTTTAAGCAATTTGTAGCTAATTCATTTCACTTTTTAGTATCTCTTACCAAATTAAATGAAGGTTCCCATCTGTCAATTATACGAGGGAACACAAAATGTTGATATTTTGGTGAAAGTTTAGATCACCCTGTGGAATATATTAAAAAAGGAAAGAATTTTAAAATCATTTTATCATTTTTTGGTTCATCTCAATAACTGTTTTTTTTATATTCAGATTGAAGAAGCCACTTCTAGCCAAACCAACACTTTTTGTAAATTACATTTTTGTAACTTCAAAATTAAAGACTTTAATGAAAGAACAGAAAAAAAAATTATTGTGTTGGTAAAATGTTAATTGCACTTACTTATTACAATATTCAGTGATTTCTGTCTGTTATTGCAGACATATACAACAAGAGTTTTTTTTTTGCATTTTAACCTCGATTTTAACATTATTATGTCTTAATATATATTTACTGAATTATTTCTTAAAGAATAATATTACATTTTAAGGTAATGGTGGTAGTCCATTAATGTGTCCAACCGATAATGGTAGTATGCTATTCCAAGTGGGTATGGTCTCATGGGGTGTCGACTGTGGCAAAGAAAATGTACCAGGTATCTACGCTAATATAAAACATTCGTATGACTGGATCGTCCAAGAACTAAGTAAAAGAAACATAACTCTATCAGATATAACTATGGCCGATATTGTGCCAGTAAACTAGTATTGTATGTAGAATTGTGAAATAGAAATAAAAGAATGATATTAAACCTTAATATGTTTTTTTAATAACTCTAAGTATGAGCGATATTCATTATCATTTGTGTAGTTGACAATAGCAGAGCTTATACCTTATTTGCTGTCACATGGGTTTGGATATGGCAAAACCAAAATCATTTAAAATCATGGTTTAATGTAAGCCTACTGAATAAATATGTTGTTTTTTAGAGTTGGGTTTAATAAAAGATACTATACTAATATATATTCACTAGTTTCTTTTAAAAAAATACAATAGTATGTTGTTTGTGGCGAGGCTGTACGTTTGATATTGGATATTACAGGCGAGACACAGAAGGTCATTTTTAATCAGAATAGAACATGCTATTTTTTCAAACGTGACAAATAATTTTTTAAACAATTTGAAACGTTCCAAATCATATAAAAAGATTTAAAAGTAATTCCTTGTAAGTAATTATATATTGAGAAACTATGGTTACACACATCCGATAGTCAAGCAGCACTAAAGGCGATCAACTCAGTGACTATCAATTCAAAGTAAGTCAAAAAATGCCCAGAGAAGCTTAACAAATTAAGTCCTCCTAATCTGGATGCCTGCACTCCAAGGGATAGAAGGTAATGAAAAAGAAAACGATCTAGCTAGAAAAGGAGCGAACACTCCACTAACTAGACCAGAACCGTTGTTTTCCAAGCGGGAACCAACTGAAAGCGAAACTGAAGAACCTGGAAGACTCCATCGTAACCTGGAATGGTCCTTCAACGGTCTAAGACACTCGAAAAAGTTCCTCAGAACTTACGACCGAGAAAAATCAAAGATTTTCATTGATTTAAGTAAAAACGAACTTCGGATTGTCACGGGGTTTCTAACAGAACAATGTCTCCTCAATGAACACCTCAGTAGATTGAAACTAAGAAGAAACGGCGAATGCAGATTCTGTGGGGAAGATGGTGAAACACCAGTACACCTCATCACTGAGTGCGCCGAGACGACGACCGTTCGCGCCATGAACTTTGGTACGGTTGATGTCGAGGATGGAGAGCTGGCCTCTGTAGAGCCGTCTCAGATACTGCCTTTTCTTAAAGCCCTGAGACTGTATGATGAGTTATAACTCGTTTTAAAGGGGAATACACAATAGATCTGTAAGTTTGCGGTGATTAACTCCCCTCCTAAACATCCTACCTTCTACATTGTCAATCAACACAAATATTGTCAACCACGTCGCAAAAATTAATACTTTTGTAACGATATTAGAAACGGGAAGACCGATTCACTATCCTCCACAATGTAGAGGAACATTTATCCCTGAACAATCCGGAAGTGAGATTATTAATAATAAAATCTACTATGTAACAGTTATAAATTATGAAATTCACTTAGAATTACCTAATTACTCGATGATTTTTTTTACATTTTCGCTTTTATTTACTACTTGACAATAATTTAGAATTTAATAATTACAATTCGTCAATTTACTTACGTGTTTCAATAGTGTATCTGGTATTTTTGTTAATAAATAATTATCACAACTTATTTAGTTTTGATAGAAATATGTTTGACAATTTTAATAACTAACAACAGTTATTGACAATGTACAACAAAACCAATTTCTAAGACAAATTTAGAATATTTGAATAATTTTTCAAGAATTAAATAATTATTAAAAAAATGTCTACTAATGCCCAAAAATGTGTACTGTGTATAATGCATACTAATCCATTAATAATTATCCATGTCGATTTTGTGGCAATTTGTTTGGTATCAAAATACAAAAACAAACTTTTTAAATGTGGTATTTCAAATACAATTACTATTAAACGTGTTTGATTAGTAGAATATTTAAAAATATGTATATTTCTAAGTTAGTTAAATCTATCTGTTCAATGAATACCACAGACCGTTGACGATAGCCCTTATAGTTGAATACCAAAACAACTATAATTAATTTGATGTAAGTATAAAAACTTCTACTTTTATAAAGTTACTTTATATTAAGTCAATCTAATTCTCTTGGTTAAATTTCCAGATAATGAGAAAATCATTGGTAGTATTAATCATGATATTAGAACCATTATGTTATGGTGCAAATACCTATGATTGGTTTCCGACCTTTCACCTCGCCCCACCAAAGGGTTGGATGAGTGACCCCAACGGGCTTCAATATTTTAATGGATATTACCACTTTTATTTCCAGCATAATCCCAATAGTCCCGTGTGGGGTTCGATGCACTGGGGTCACTCTAAAAGCACCAACATGTTAAAATGGGAACATCTACCTTTTGCGCTTGAACCATCCCTACCAGAGGACATTGATGGAATTTTCTCAGGATCTGCAGTGATAAATGATGGAAATTTGACAGTAATGTACACAGGGGCTAGTGGAAATTTAACTCATCAAACCCAATGTCTAGCCCGTAGTTCTGACGGATTAATTTTCGAAAAGCTTGGAGTTGTTTTAAAACAAGACGGCAACGATTCAAATTTTAGAGACCCGAGAGTTTGGCGACAGGGCAATTCCTGGTTTGTGGTTATTGGTTCTATAACAGAAAATAATAGAGGAGAAGTCCTTTTATATCAGTCGGATGATCTGATATCGTGGGAATATCACGGTGTCTTAGCGGACGCAAACGAAACACTGGGTTACATGTGGGAATGTCCTGATTTCTTTGCTTTGGGAGATAAACAAATTTTATTAATAAATCCACAAGGCATGGAGCAAAACGGATATGATTTCCAGAACTTACATCAGACAGGATATTTTGTTGGAACATGGCAACCTCGAGAAGAATACATTATTGAAAAAGGTTTTCGAGAAATAGATCACGGTCATGATTTTTACGCTTCACAAACTTTTTTAGCCCCAGATGGTCGTCGAATTTTAGTAAGCTGGATGGGTATGTGGGAGTCTCCATTTCCCGAACAAGGAGACGGATGGGCTGGAATGCTTACCTTACCTCGTGAACTTACCCTATCAGAAGATGGAACTATAAAAATTAAACCTATAAAAGAAGTTAAAGATTACCGAACTGAGGATGTGAGTTACGAAAACTCAGTAAATCTAAACGACAACTCCATCTATGTTTTAAAAGAACAAGTTTCTTCAAACGAAATTATCATAGAACTGGATCCAGTTAAAAGTAATGCGTCTACTTATGGGGTCAGGCTTGGCGATGAGGGTCAAGGAGTGTCTGTATACGTCGATGCAACAAAGGAACGTTTGTTTTTAGAAAGAAGTTATCCACAATTTAATATCAGCAGAAGCGATAGGAGTGTTGCAGTTGATTTGTCAATTCCAATTTATTTAGATATATTTATAGATAATTCTTCTATTGAGGTGTTCGTAAACGATGGACAATCTGTATTGACTAGCAGAATCTACCCAACAGAATTGCAAAGAACTCTAGTTGTGTTTCACTCCGAAGGATGTGTCACATTGAACAAATATAGTATATGGAATATCTGAAATTAATTGACAATCTATTTTTTTTAAATATACAAATTGTTAATAATAAATTTTAAATTAACATACTAATAGGTTGTATTGTATTGTATATTCCAAAATTTTTGCTTTCCGTTGCATTATAAAATGAATAAATGTTTTAAACATTTTTGACTTCCTATATTTGTTTCCTATTATACCGGGTGCATCTCAAAAGTGGCGCTCACCCCTATAACTTTTTATTTTTTCAGTTAAAAAAGCGAGATTTGGTATTTTCGTATGACATAAATTATATGTGGTATCAAATTATTCCTAGAAAAATGCTTTTTCAAAATATGCTAATAAAAAAAGGCCACCCTCGTTCTATTTGAAAAAATTGAGATTTAAAAATGAATGTTCTAACTGACCAGGACAAGACGCTAAAAACATTAGATAATCCAATCTATTTTTCCAAGGCTGTTTGATTAAGAATTAGTGTTTTTAACATAGCCATGGCACTCTAGATTGAGGGGCCATTTAAAAATCAACAGTTGTAGTCATTTCCGGTGAAACAGGAAGTGACCAAAAACAATTGAATACGTCAATCAATCCTGATTTATGTCATATACTAACGTATCAAGTCTCGTTATTTTATCTGAAAAAAATTGAAAAGTTATAAAGGTGAGCCTCTTTTGGGACGCACCCTGTATTTAGGCCGATTTTTAGTGTAAATCTGAAAAAAAAACAAAGAGTTGGTCCAGATTATACGTTACACAAAAAACTTATTTGAGATGGAGGTGAATTATTAAAAGACGTATGTACAGGGTGTCCCAAATTCGAGACTCGTCATTGGTGTTTTATCTAGATGATATGAGATACGAGGTCTGTTAAATAGAGTCAGTTGCGCAATTTGATGCTGATCAAAATTCCACCTTCAACGTTTATAAAATTCCGAATACTTCAGAAATTTTTTAGAGAAAACCGAATATTCGCTATTTCATTTTTATTTTTTATGACTGTATTTAAATATATATACAAAAATAAATGTCACATCCTCATAACTGCTTTTTTTCTACCCCTATTTCTCTTTCCACCTATTTCACATCTTATTATCATACTAGTAATTCTTGCTTCAGCCATTCCTTCAATGTGTCCCAGCCATCTCAGTCTTTGTGCGCTTGCTAGTCCCGTTATACTCGTTGCCCCATATAGTTGCTTTAATTCTTCATTTCTTCTTCTGGTCCGTATGTCGTTTATCTTCTTTCCTCCAAAAATCTTCCTCACTATTTTTCTTTCCCAAATCTCTAACCTCGAACTTTCCGTTGCATTGAACTTCCACGTTTTGCATACACACAGCATACATACATCACTATTGATCGTATCATTCTGATTTCCAAACTTCTAGAGATGTTCTTACTCTTAATAATTTTCTGTAATGCGCTAACACATGTATTTCTTGCCTACCAATTACTACGTATAAAATAAATTGCTCTGATTTTTGGAAGTCACTAATAATTATGAGTCACACTAATATTTTATGACATACAGGGTTGGCAAGATCTGGCTTTGGGTGCCGATTTTTGGGTTTACGAAGAGCTACAGTTTAGTAGCTTAAACAATATTCAATACATACAGTCAGTACACTAAGGTAACTGAAGGAAGAAAGAAGATCAAGAAGTGTTTTTCCAAGCGCATAAAGTATTATATAGAATCGGATTAAGTGGATATTTAATTTAATATCACTTCGCATTTTTCTCTCTGCATCTTACAAGATCGCCATATCGATTTACTCCTAGACAGGGAAATACTGACCTAAGACTGTCGCTTGCCGATATGGTACATATATGTTATACCATGAAAACCATTTCGATGTGTTCTAAATATGTTTGTATCCATAAGTAGAAAACGTAGTATTATTTTTTCTATAAATAAAATTAGATAAATTCCTTTGTGGACATTTACCTAATTATTATATCAAATTATTTTTTTTAACTTATTTGTATTTAAATATGGCAATTAGAGACACTAAAATGCGTAATTTCACTATAATTAAATTTAAAGGCTTTGCAGGTTAGGCGAAGGAAAATTTTGCATAGTATTTTTACCATAAATGGATAACACATATAAAGAAATCAATAAAAGTTGGCGTGCACGTCATCAAAGACGTCGAAACTATTACCCCATATTAAATTATTACTATATATAATATATGTAATAACTTAATTGTTTCTTTTTGTCTTTAACCATTAGTATATATCTATATAGTTTTTTAGCCGACCATACCGACAGGTATGGTAGGCTATTAAGATCGGCAAAAAAGTTTTTTTTTTAATTTCACTCAAAATGAGTTATTTGGGTCATAAGTGACATAAATACAAAATATATTCATGGTGTCTGTCTGTCTGTCCGTCTGTCTGTCTGTCTGTCTGTGCGTCTGTCTGTCTGTCTGTAACATTTTAACTAAACCGATTTTAACCAAATTTGGCACAAAAATACTGTGGCACCCGAGAATCTGGTCATTAGTTTTTGGTGGGGGTGGGGGTTGGTAAGGGGGTTATGGGAGGGTTTTTTTTAGAATTTAGAATGAGTGGGAGGGGGGTTAATCACTTCGACCTTACAGATCCATTGTGTTCCCCTTTCTTGAATCATAACTCATCATACAGTCCCAGGGCTTTGACAAAAGCCAGTATCTGGGACGGTTTTATAGAGGGTAGTTCTCCATCTCCAATATCAGTCGTACCAAAATTCATGGCACGAATGGTTGTCGTCTCGGCGCACTCAGTGATGAGGTGTACTGGTGTTTCACCATCTTCCCCACAGAATCTGCATTCGCCGTTTCTTCTTAGTTTCAATCTACTGAGGTGTTCATTGAGGAGACAGTGTCCTGTTAAAAACCCCGTGACAATCCGAAGATTGTTTTTACTCAGACCCAGGAAGATCTGTGATTTTTCTTGATCATAAGCCGTCAGAAACTTCTTCGAGTGTCTTAGACCATTGCAAGATTTCCATTCCAGGTTGCGGATGGAATCTTCCAAGTTCTTGAGTTCCGCCTTGAGGTTACCACTTGGAAAGCAGAACGGTTCTGGTCCAGTTAGTGGAGTGTTCGCTCCTTTCCTAGCTAGATTATTTGCTTTTTCATTGCCTTCTATCCCTTGGTGAGCAGGCATCCAGTGTAGGAGGACTTTGTTTTCTTTGCCTAATTTATTCAGCTTCTCTATGCATTCTTTGACCAATTTCGAATTGATTGATACTGAGTTGATCGCCTTTAACGCTGCTTGACTATCAGATAAGATGGCTATTTCTTGTTTCCGATAGTTCCTATCTAAGATAAGTTGTACGCATCTCTCGATAGGTTAGATTTCTGCCTGTAGGATACTAGGGTAAGTGCCCATTGGTTCGGAGTAATTAGCTCTCGGCCCAAACACTCCGATCCCTGTTCCCGTATTGGTTTTGGAAGCATCAGTATACCAAGTTATAGTATGGTCTTTTAACTGCTGGGCAAGCGTTTCGCTCTTCCAATCCTTCTTATTGCTCAATACTACATTGACATGTTTGTCAAAGTTGTACGTTCTTGGCATATCGTCCACTGGGAGTTGCAGGAGTGGTATTTCCTTTTTGAGGATGTTCCAAGCCCCTGATCTGACAATTCTCCCAGTACTAATTCCGTTAGTGACCATTTTAATCATTGTCGCATTGGCATATCTACCAATGACAATGTGCAGTGGTGTTAGATCTAGAATGACCTCCATTGCTGCTGTTGGACAGGTTCTCATGGCTCCTGTGATGCAAACACATGCTAGTCTCTGGACTTTGCATAGGTTTAGCCTTGCCGTCCGTTGCTCTAGTTTTGTGTACCAGGCAACTGCTCCATAAGTAATCATGGGTCTTACTATCATGGTATACATCCAGCGCAAAATGTTAGGGGAGCAGCCCCATTTATTTCCGGCCAGTCTTCTGCATATCATGAGAGCCTTTATTAATGGGAGGGGGTTAAAAATTTAAAAAATCGCCAAACCAAACCAAACTCCAAAGTTACAGTAGCTAGCAAAACGCGGTTTTCAATTTAAGATTAGGAATAATACTTGCAACAAAATTTGTAATAACATCAAAATGAGTCAAAGTCGCAGTTTTTGAGATAAGAAAAATATCAAGTGTGGGGTTATACGTGCCTCCCGGCGCCAATTTTTTTCCTTTCTTGGGTATGAGGTTTTATAATAATGACTGAATGATTTTTATGCGACGTTTCGCTCCAACATAGTGGGCTTTTTCAAGCACTTTTTGGTATACACTTGGTATTTCGAGTTAAATTTTCGTTACGAACCATAAGTTATAATTTCAAATAAACCAGATGCGAAAATGTCAAAAGTTGACATAGGATATGTCATTCTATTCAGAGTGTAATTTTCTATCTAATAAAGGAAAAAAATACCGGTGGTGCCATTTAAAAATCAAAAGTTGTAGTCATTTCCGGTGAAACAGGAAGATCCACAAAATGACAACCACAGCGCAGAGATAGTTAATACCGACTTGTCGGAAAGTGTCGGTTAGATATTAACTCCCGAACGGGAGATAGCGGCCTGCGTGCAATGGTAGTACTTTCGTAACACCGGGGCGCAAGTATCGATAGTAAAAGACTTATTTTCCAGGCAAGCCAAATTATAAAATAGAAAACAAATTTCTTGCAGTATAGGTATATAATAAAATTATATCAGAATTCTTGCCACTTAACTGCTTATATAGAAATTTAATTCTACGCTGTGTTTGTCATAATGTGGATCAACCTGCTCTCACTACCGGTTTCGGAGCCCTACTCCATCATCAGGTGAGCCTGGGCAGATCCACATATATAAGCAGTTAAGTGACAAGAATCCTTATATAATTTTATTATATACCTATACTGCAAGAAATTTGTTTTCTATTTTATATGAAATTTATATGGAAAATGTGAAAATCGACTGTCATTTCATAGCCATTGCTGATGCCATTTTTATTCGATCATACGATAGTACTGAATAAGTTTAGTTGTAAATATTGGTAATATTATGGATAGCAATTAAAACAGAAATAAAAGAATTTATATTAAAATAAAACTTAACGTGTTTTATCATTTTAAGCGACATTCATCATAAAACCTATCAGAAATATGTTTAGCGATAGCCAAACAGCTAGTA